ACATTCTAACCATAAAGTATATTATGTGCCAAAACATTACAGTCTGGCACTTGTGTCATGAAAATTTATCTTGTTTCTTAGAAGTAAAAATATTGCTCACACAAATGATATGCTCAGCTCACCTAACTTTTACGTGTGAGCGATGAATGAACTTTTAGGCACGTATTAGTAGTTGAACATAATGCCCATGAAAATTTCCGGGACACATGTTTTCTAAAAATATTTTGATCACTCTAGAATTTTCCATATTTTGCATGATTGCTTGCAGCCAGAAAAACAGCGATCGAAATTGTATATTTCACAACTTTTGTCGAGCGCGCTGCGGTTGAGATAATCCAGCCAACGGAATTTTGCCTTGCCACAAGTTACAAGGCGTGTTTACTGAGGTCGGTGAGTGTATGCATGTTTTTTTTTTTTAACATAACTCATCGAAGTATTTTTTTTTTATTTTTATTTTTATTCCGATGTAAAATGAAGGAAAGTTCTATTGATGAATTCAGTTGTAAACAAATACCTCATCTTTTAAGTTTCTGAGTTACTTCGAGTGAAGGTTTTGGTTTATTACAAACAGTTTTTAGGCCGCGTGTCAACCCATTGAATGACATATTTGCTACCAAAATTAGTTCAAACCATTTAAAGTCATATTTGCCACCAAAATTAATTTCAAAAACATTTTTTTTTGTTGGCCAAATTGACTTGAGAGAGAGAAAGAGAGAATTAATAAATTATCAATCGGCTTGATTTGCTTTAAAATGATTTGCTTAAGATACTGCCCAGCAGGCAAAACGAAATAAATTTATGAAAATGGCAACAAAGTTAGAGATGTACTCGGCGACTTACGCAAGCGATACCGTGCCCGTGGGCAGGGATAGAAAAATCCAGAGCGCATTAAGAAACATTACGATTGCAAGATTCGTTACCATGCCCTCTGAAAAAAACAAGTAATAAAAACAGTTCTTTCGAGAAACGTTGTCAGAAAAAAGCGTGTTGGAAGCGCTGCGCTGGTATCATAGGGGTCATGGGAGCAAATCCCATACAGGCCTGAATTACACAGAAACATAGTTATTTTTTTAATGATAGAAATTACGAAAAAAAGTTATTTCCGGTGCAGGTGCGCTTAACTTGAATGGTAGTGCTGCTCACAACGGAACAATTTGTTTACTTTTTGGGTTAATTAATTCCTCTGTATTGTATTTGTATTATTTTTTCAGCAGATCCAGCTTCTGGACAAAACTTTTTGCAGGACTCTTACCCTGACTACGTTGGACCACCTTGCACGCAACAATATGGTAAGAAGAGTTAGTCTCTGTAATGGTGTACAATATGTCTCAAGTACAACAAATGACCCGTTCTCCCGCTCTCAGAAAAGCAAAATTACAAAATGATAACAGGAGACAGCTCAAGATAAAATAACAAATTAATACGTCATATTCAGTGGTTTAACAATTAATACGCGCGGATATTTTGCGACTTGTGTGGCATTTTCCGAGCCCCGTAGCGGCGAGTTGAAATGACAAAAACAGCCCTATCTGAGCATCGATCATACCAGAAGTGTGCGAAAGACGAAAATAATGCAAAGGAAACAATGAGAGTGTTCTATACAACCAACCGAGTGGATTTAAGAGTTTTGATCGTTCATAGCGGCCATTTTGTTACTCAACGTTACCGTCCGCATTTTTGCCCTTACAATGAAATGTTGGGTAATGTGGTTCCAATACAAAAATATAAAACGCGGGTTGTCTACAAGGGAATAACACGCGATGGAGAAAAGTGTAATGAGGCAAAATGGAATTTGATTGGTGGAATACAATTCAAACAAGAAAACACGAACAGGCTATTAAAATTTATCTTAAAGCTTTTTCACCTACTTGGGAAAACTCAAAAGGAAATATATCATTCTCTAGTATTTTAACGTCTAGTTATCGAAAAACATCCCAAAGCTTCATCTGGGTATCAATCACAGAAGGCGTGTGCGAACGACTAAAATAGTACAAAGGAAATAAGAGTGTTCTGTTTAACCAACGAAACATCTAGTGCATTTGAGAGTTCCGATCGTTCAGAGCGACCATTTTTTTACTCTGCTTTCCGTCCGCATTTTTGCCCTCAAAGTGTAATGCTTATGCAATTTTTTCTTATGATATGGTCTTGATGTTTATTTTTCTTTAAAGATTCATCAATTTCTACGTCGCCCTCGCCCTCGCCCTCGCCCTCGCCCTCGCCCTCGCCCTCGCCCTCGCCCTCGCCCTCGCCCTCGCCCTCGCCCTCGCCCTCGCCCTCGCCCTCGCCCTCGCCCTCGCCCTCGCCCTCGCCCTCGCCCTCGCCCTCGCCCTCGCCCTCGCCCTCGCCCTCGCCCTCGCCCTCGCCCTCGCCCTCGCCCTCGCCCTCGCCCTCGCCCTCGCCCTCGCCCTCGCCCTCGCCCTCGCCCTCGCCCTCGCCCTCGCCCTCGCCCTCGCCCTCGCCCTCGCCCTCGCCCTCGCCCTCGCCCTCGCCCTCGCCCTCGCCCTCGCCCTCGCTCTCGTCATCGGCCTCCACCTCGCCATCGCCATCTCCATCGTCGTCGCCATCGCTGTCGCCATCGCAGCTGGTATGTTTTCTAAATAGTCATTTACCATTTTTACGCATGTCATTTTTCAGGATCTTCTCTGTGACACACATGTTTTTTTTAATTCTAGGCAAAGGAGTATGTTTCAAAATTATGCGGAATAAATATTACCAGAAAGGGTTCCATACAGGTATCCAATTTTCATAACTTAAAGGCTTTTTAACTTCGATAGATAAACGATAAAAAGTAATTATTACATGCACACCGAGATTTAAGCGCCAAAAAGCATCGAGATAAAAATAGTCTCTTCACGCCAGAGAAGCCAGCTCATTGGTCCTACGATTTTTTTCACCAGTGAAAAACGACGTATCGATTTTCACCAGTGAAGATATCTGTGTTGCTTGCTCGCCGTTCCTCTTGACTGACAAATAACACATTCTAAGAGCTTAGGCGTATTTTTCTTTAGAAAGATGGCTTCAAATCAGACAAACCGTTTTCAGAGCCTAAATTCATCAGTAGAAGAGTTCACAGAAGGACAGGAAAATGAAAACACCAAGAAAAAGACAGAACACGATGTTGCTCTGTTCCACGAATTTCTTGTTTTGAAAGGCGGAACGAGTCTCGAGTTTTCGCTTCTGTATTTCAAATTTTAAACTTCCGTAGAACTATTTCGACATACTTTCAGAATGTCTTGTTTTAATTCTAAATAGTTCTGCCTTTTAACGGCGTTTTTGCTTGATGATTTAAATGTAAAGTATTTTACAAGGAAGCCATTTCAGTGCAACTCTCGAACTGCGAGGCGGTTTGACGCGCGTTGTTTTCCTTTGAAAGAAAATAAAGATAAGTTTATCTTTGAGTTCTGTTCGCCCATGAATTTCGGTATGTATATAATAAATAAGTTATTTCACGGTTAGTTCGCTTGTGCGATTTTTATTTACTCTTTGTGTGAAAATCGCACGCGCTCACCAACCGTGAAATAACCTATAAATATATAACCTTTAAGGATAAACCACCATTCAAGCCATATGAGGTGAGAATGGTGAGGCTTAAAAAATAATCCAGTCTCCTAAAAGAGTTCTTTGGCCAATGAATACCCTGAACACCATTTGGGGCCTCCTGCTGGACTTTTTCCACATCTTTAATATGAATTGTAAATGTGAGACTGGCCAGTCAATGACATGGAAATATTTTATGTAATTGTAGGAGGCGGTTGCTGTGTTTGAAGATTTCACCTTAAAAATCAAAAACATCACAAAAGACAAGGCAGGCAAGGAAGAGGTTAAAACACTGAGAAAATCCATCTTTGAGGTGGCAGAGGCCGTCGAGAAATTTGCTCTTAATTATAGCAAGCGACACCAGAGTGGAATGAAGCCTTCAGAAAGGATCGTTTCCCCAAAAATGGGTGAGGCTGTGGCACTCAATTCTGTTTAGTTTCAAAGTCTATTCCTTTGTTACTTACTGACTTGCTGAGTGACCAAATGAGCTGTCTTATTCCCTATAGCTAGATGATGTAAGAACTCAGTTATAAACCCAACTTTCTAGAAACGTTGTTGTTGGATGTCATCGAATTATCTGTTTTTTTTAATTTGTTTGACACTGATTTCTCGCGGTGGAGAAGGAAATTCAAGGTATTCTTAAACAATCAACAAGTGAGAATCGGAATCCTTCAAATTGTGAAACCTTTCTCTCGCTCTGTTATTGGAAACTTTTCTTAAATAATAGATTGGTGAGTAACACTTTACTAACTGAAATTGACAAATCTAACAAATACTTTCCGCATACTTCACACTATACACTGGGCTCAAAATTGGCCTATCGTCTGCAATGCATATAAATGCAAGATTTTTAACCGTACTTGTAAAAGCTCCCCAGTGAACTCTATAGTTCTCCAAAGAGACGGTTCGAGGAACGAATTGAGTTTTGACAATTTTAGTCCGTCCAGTACTTCTCACTTTTTCATCAGTTTTACATTTAAAAACGTTTTATAAATGGTTGAAATCGTCGAATAGTCCTTGAAGGGCAAATGAGATACAAAAAATACAGGTCCATCCAATAAGATTATTAAATATTTGTGTATACCGCAAAACGCATGTTTGTGTAGGTGTGCTATTGCAAATTTCACCATAGGTGCTTTCATTTGTCATTTTTTTCCCGACAGTTTTGGTCATTCAAAAAGCCTATCGCCAGAATGCAAGTGGCCTCCTCTTTGAGGAACAACAATGGCAAGCGAGGATTGATATCGCTTCTTCAAATTTTGAGAAAAATGGTTCGTATTAACTACTGTGGTAACTTTACAGCTTTTAGTATTACCTTGGTTTCTCCAATCGAAATTTCTGTATTGAAATAAAGTCTCATATAAATGCGCCTCCTTAGTTTACATAGTCTATCTTCTTTAATCATTCGCCTTCCTTATAATGTTGTTTAATAACTTTTTTGTTGATTCTTGGGGGGTTTTAAGGATCACTGGTAGTTGCGTCTATGTACAAGGATCTCCATGACCTACTTGTGACAGATCAAGCCGTCAGGAATGAAACAGGCAACCAAAGGTGACGTTACTTTCATATTATTCCATGCCGTTCACCCCCGAAAACACATAACTCGGAAACACATAAGATCTAAGTTCAACTAACCTGAACTTAGGGACTTTCCAACAACCCTAACTAAGAATGGAAGACTCCCTGTTTGTCTCTGACCGTTCCACCTTCATGAAAAATTCGCTTGAATCTATCAAAAGTATGTAATGTTGCTTCCTTGCTTCTGAGCCATTTTCAAATAAAATTTCTTCATAGGTATATTAACTCCAGGATAATGGCCGTAACTATGGACCCCAAGGCAAAGAAATTGGGAGAAAATGTCATCCTAAAGTTCAAAAACCTAAAGGTAACATGAAAATTAGTTGCAATGCGTTGTTTGTATTTATCCTGACAAGATAAAATCCATTTTCAGGTCTTGGCAGCAGAGAAGCGCTGTATGTTTTGGAGTGGCCTCAGAAAAAGGTAAAAAAACTACAGTATATTATTGTATGGTATTCATTCCTTCTTAAATTAAATTAAGTACGGAGGAGAATGAATGAACTTTCTCAGATGTTTTTGCGCAGATGAACACTTTCCTGGAAGCCAACATGTTGTCGTTTTTAGAGCGGGGAAGTCTGCTTGAAATGTTCTCGCAGCTATGACTACAATGGAAGAAAATCTTAGCGCAAAATTGTCAAACATCACCTCTTACCCAAACGATGAATAATTTTTTAACTTTACTTTTTTTCATGTCTGACAGCTTTTCAGAGGAAGGATGCCATGTAGTTACATCGGAAAGCAACTCAGAAGAAACAGTTTGCAGCTGTAATCATTTGACGCATTTTGCCGTCTTAATGGACTATGACGGTAGCAAAAAGGTAATAGAATTATTTTTGCCTTACTCAATCATTTTATGGGCTCAGTTAACTAACTCAATATTGTCATTAAATTTCTCTTTTTTTGACACAGCTCGCCGAGGAGGACGAAACAATTCTGAAAATTATCACCTACGCGGGACTGAGCCTTTCCATCTTCGGAATACTTTTAACATTAATACTTTATTCTTGCCTCACGTAAGTAATGTACCTGAATAATAATGAGGTAGATTCTTAATTCTCCTCAACAAGGCTGGTAAGAAAAGAGATCTCAGTGCAACTCTCCATGCAAACAAGAACATGCATTTGGGATAATTCACGAATTCAAGAAACATTTCATGCCCTATCACGAACTTTTGAACAACTCATGTCTTCAGTGTGTTGTTGTTATTGTCGTTGTTGCTTTTGTCTAATTCATTATTTTCTTTTTTCACTATTATTTCATCAGAGATGTTTGTCAACCTCTCTCTCAAATTCGACTGAGTGTTTCTGTGTCCCTTGGAGCTGGACAGATCATCTTCCTCGCCGGAATAAACGCCACAGAAAACAAAGTCAGTGGCGCCTCCTTCTGTCTATAGAATGAGTTTACTCTTTGCACCGTAAATATCTTGTCGAAAGGAGCACGTTAAGAAGTATACGAAAACTCTTTCTTTTCACAGGCTGCCTGTGTTACAATAGCAGCTCTGATGCAGTATTTCTTGATGGCCGCTTTCTGTTGGATGCTGATCGAGGGAATATATCTCTACTTCATCGTTGTGAAAGTTTACAACATTAACACCAAGATGTTCATGTACCACGTCATCTCATGGGGTAAGTTCATTATTTTACAACATGCATTGGTAACTGTAACCATGCATGCTTTCGGATCGCCAAATCTTGTGCTGTCATGCAGTTAAGTATTTCGATTTCTTTCCTTTCTTTATGGGTAGGTCTTCCAATGATCATGGTGGCCATTTCACTTGGCATCGCTGCTAGGAAAGAGGGGTTACAAAGCTATACGAGTGATAAATAGTAAGCAAATGATTCAGCGGTTTCTTCTTCCTCTTCTACTTTATTGCATTCTTTCTTTTGTAGTTTTGTATATAGTTTAGTATCATTTCATTCGCTGAAAATTTGTCTTCCTTTTACTTCTTTGAGTTTAGTTGCTGGCTTTCCTCGACTAATAACCTGACCTGGATATTCGTCGCCTTTGTGGCTTTCATTGAAATTGTGAGTTTATGATTGGTGTTGGTGATTGTGATTGTGATTGGTATACCTGCACTAATTACTACCAAAGATTTTTTCACTACTCTTTCAAATGGGAGTTCAGTATTTACCATACGTCCTCACACAATATTTACCATTTTCCTTTTTTCCTATTTACCCACAATAAACTTTGGACGTAGCTGCTGTTTCGGGGATGTTGGTCAATTTTTAACCTGGTATTTGCCTTCATAGGCATGAGATAGCTTCATATATTCTCTAACTTTTACTACATAGTATGAAAACAAAAACGTCTCCCCCTTCCTTGTTTCACATTGATATACCAAGATATGATTTTGGCGCAAATAAAGCAACATTTCAAAAGGGGAAAGGAGCAGAAAGAGTAGGAAATATTGCATTTATATCATTTAACATAAGGCTTCACTTGGCGTAGTTCTTTCAGTGTAGACACTTTTGTTCGCGATTTCTTTAGCTCATTGGTAGAGGATCGAAGCTCATACTCTAGGTCCCACGGTTGATAGTTCTATTTCCTGTAGGTAGAGAACTCTACGCCCAACCCTTGTCACAAAACTAGTAACGTCTTTTGCAAGAAAGGATCCTCTCTCACTTCGGCGATTCAACTACCATATATGAATACTTAATTTATTTTTATTGTACATTTTAGCTCAACGTCTCGATACTCGTACGAGTCATAAAGGAGATGACCAATCTGGTGCAGCCAACAGCGAAAGACAACCATTTTCAGCAAATACGGTAAGATTCACAACATAAAACTAAAACAAAATAGTAGAAGAGCTTGCCTGTGAGGCTATATTCGCCAAACTTTCTCCTTCCTTAATCAGTAAGGCCTTACGATATCTAAAAATGAAAATTCAAACGAAAAAAAGGAATATTTTCTTTTAATTCCTAGAATTGGTATCAAAGCATGCGTTGTGATGATTCCCCTGCTGGGTTTCACATGGCTATTCGGTCTCCTCTCGCCTCTACATAAGGCTTTCGCCTACATCTTCACCATACTTAACTCTACTCAGGTGAGTGTTTGATGGTAACTCTCAAAAAGCATTCAATCTCGATTACATATTTAACTTTCTAACCAAGTGAGACACCATTAAAATGGTCAGATGATATTTATGAAAATTTTGAGAAAAAAGACAACCGTTAACTATGCAAGAGAAGACAGCTCTCCATTTATGAGATATGCAAGTTTCCTCCCTTCTTGGAAATCTTAATTAGATATTTGACTAATTTATTTGAATATTGTGAAAACTAATGATCTTGGAATAATTGTTATGCTGCAGGGTTTCCTGATTTTCGCTCTACACTGTATGCGAAACACACAGGTGAGAAAAAATGAAATTGATTAGACTCATTGCATATCATCACGTTTTAGTGTTTCAATAAATATCCGAGGGCTTAGAACCATATTTCATGTTTCTCATCTATCTGCAGATCAGAGAGCGATTCAAAAGAAAGATGAACATCGTTTTTCCATCCTCTATAAAAAACAACTCCGCAAGGAAGAGCTCACGTGTCAATCCAAGTGAGGTTGGGGATGCATGGGCAGTCGAATTGCAGTATTGTGCTGAATTTGAATCGAAATCGCACTTAACTTAAATAACTGGATCCAGCCAATCGGAAATGACAGTCAATTACTTAGTACAATCACTCATTTAAAAGTGATTAGTCGCTTGCAATCGGTCTGAGTTACAATTTGCAGGTTAAAAAAGGTCGTTCTAACCATCATTGTTTAAGCATTCAACTAGTTGTAATTGTGACTATAATAACTATTATAACTATTATAATTATTATAAATAAATAAACCAAGCTATAAATTAAAATTTTTAATGGCTCGGTATGTTGATGACATGCCTTTCGAATAAGACCACAGTCTGCGACATACGAGGCGGAAATTTATGCCAGGAAATCACGACTCGTCTTTCTTTAAAAAGCACTCTAGGACGCAGCCTTAATTACATGTATTCATTTTTTGATTCTTGCACGCTAACTCTCTGCGCTCACAGCATGAATGTTTCATATTCGATGTTTCACTCATTGAGTTTCAAACTTCTCATCAAACACTGTTAGTACTTTTAACTATAAGTTATGGGTAATAACGGTAAAAAAAAAGTTTCTAGACATTTCTAGAATGCCTAGTCATGCTGACATGTATACCAAGGAACTTTCTGGAGCATTTTATGAGGTTACGTAGCTATGGTGTAACACTACAAAATAGCTGTGTTTAAAAATTTCAGAATTTTCTAGAATACTTGGTATATAAGGACTCAGTCGTACAGAAGCAGTACTTGTTGCTCTAGGGAGTGACTGACGTTTCAGAAAGCTATACCAAGAGAGAGCTACTGTGGGAGATTGCTAATTTCGGAGGACTTTGGAGACAACTGTGAGATTGTGTCAGTGGTGAGCTAAGATATAGTTTGCGGTGATAGTTTGTTGTAGGATTAAATAAGTTTATTTAGGATAAATACTATAATTTTTTGGAACCGCTCCTCATTCAGAATATTATACACTTAATGTATGGTCCCGAGGAAAACAGTTAGTTTTGTTTTCCTGATAGTTCTAATAATCCCCGAGACAAACATCAGCACTCGAGGGAAAACAAAACTAACTAGTTTCCCGAAGGACCATTCGTTAAGTTCTTTGTTATATATTTAGACTTTTCCTTAAACTATCATATGATCAGGGGCACGTGATCAAGAATCATCCGATCACAGTTCTCATTTTCTTGAGTGAAAGTCTAAGCATATAACAATACAAATTGTTTAATAAAGTAGTTGGGTTTGTCAAAAGAAAGTGTTCTTTCTGTCAGTTAAATTATACCGCAACAAATAATACTACTAATAGTAGCAGCTAATACAAACATTCAAAGCTGTTTCTCAATGAGTAAACAGCTGAATGAGTAGATATTTGAATAAATAAGCATCTAATTTAAAAAGAAAAGAAAAAAAACTCCTATGGCTGAATCTTTTAGTGGATCAGTTACATTTGTTAATTTTTTTTTTGTTATTATTATTATTTTTCGCTAGAAAAAGGAATACCATTTTTAATCTAAAATAAATCCAATAATTTGCAATTCCATAGGCTGATGCTAGCCGGAAATGGCATAAACTAAGAGATTCTATTAATCTCTTGCGCAAATTTAATAATAATAATAATAAGTGTAAAGACAGCTATTGACAGCAACCTATATTAATATCGTGCGCTTGATGAATTGCGAGATGAGTATAACTGAGCTGTTCAATTTTTTTTTTTAAAGCTGTGTGCTAGGATAGTACCAACTCAGTAATATCTTGACTTTCCATTAGCGAAACATTTATATCGATTTTGGGACGTCCTGTGAAACTCAGCCGAACCAATCTGTAAAAAAAAATTGTCAGGTGGCGGTTATTTGGCACTCTTAATTAAAAAAAAAAACATACCAGACTCTAAAGATGTCCAAATTAAACTTTTAGTTCATAATTAGAGAAGGATCTCTTGTAAATTGGATTCCTGATGCAATTTATACAGAGCAAAGCAATCAGAAAGCAAATAGCACAAGCGAGACATTCATGTACTTGCTCGCCAAGTTGGACGTCATGGACAATTAAAACATATTTCTCTTTTAAATTATTCTCCTTTATTATTCTCTTTTGTTTCATCAAACACTGTTATTACTATTAACAATGATTATGGATACTAACTGTAACCATAAGTTTCTAGAAATTTTTAGAATGCTGACATGTATGCTAAGGAACTTTCTGGAGCATTTGATTGGGTTATGTAGCCATGGTGCATCCCTATGATATGGATTATCGTTTTGAATCGAAAATAAATCGATTCATTCGAAATTTAATTGGGGCAAAGTTAGCTGGAAATGGCATAAACCAATAAAAAATTAAAGGAAAAGCTTAGCGATAGAAATGTGGAATATTTCCATGGGCCTGGTCTTCAAATATCACTACAACAAAGACGTAGCATTGAAGATGAATTTCAACAAGCCAGAGAAGGTGTCGATTATGTAGATGTGCCTAACAGTTTACAATAGTCTAGGTTACGTCATACCCATTTATAAATAAACATGGATGACGAAGCGCACGATTTTGGCGAAAGAACAACAGCAAAAAAAAGAATTATTCTAGAATATACAAAACGCGATAGGTCAAAACTCTTCAAGCGTCGACTGACTAAATATTGCAGCTAAGACTAGGGAATATATTTATTCAAGAATAAATGGTCAATTATTCTATGAGCGTGGAGAGATACTAGGAGAGTAGAATGTCTGGCCCACAGAGCACATCACTATGACCCAGGAACGTCTCGCACTCAGACCTTTTCATCCCAACGCTCCTTCTAAAATGTTGGAATTCAAACATTTGGACACAAAAGTGATGGTCTGTATGACGCATTTGGAGGGAAGAGTTGTTTTTTAGACTGAACAGTAAACCGTAAGGCCGTTAGCCTCTGATGGTTTTCTGATCAATTAACGACCAACTTTATGTAAATTCACATCGAACTCATGATCTAAGAAAACCGAGAAGAAATCCTTTGACTCGGAGTTTGCCGTGCTATGAAAATAATAATACATGTTAATTAACACATGAAAGAGTTAGTCCATCAAAGAAGAAGACATATGAAGTAATTAGACCCACCAACTGAAACACGCAGCATGTCGTAGGCGAGATGAATAACTAATAATCATTCCCATTATTGTATGCATACGAACAAATGGCATACTAGCTCTAGCTGCCAGTTGATAACACAGAAGTTTGTTCGAGACAACTTTCATTTAGCAGAGCTCAAAAAGAAATAATCATTCTGAAAATAAATTATTTTTAAGCTGCTTCTCTACAAAACTTTAACTACAAAAAGTGTTTTAATGCTGTGAGGTTTTTCGATTGTATTAAGAAAAACAATACTCCACATCTGATGTAAGTTGCCTTTTTATCTATTGGTCCGTCTATGACAGAAAAATAAAAATGGAGATTAACGCCATGAATATGCGATCACAGATCATGATTTGAATTAAAATCAAACTCGTACGAAAGCGTTTTATGAGGATGCCGCAAATCCAAAACTCTCAAGCGAGGTGAATCAAATTTAAAAAGAAATTTGAATATCTTTGGCACGATGAAGTGGATGATAAATGGAACTGAATCCGGCAAAATTTTCAAAACCCTTTCTTTATGTTGTTTGCTGGGTAAGTACGACGCTGGTTATTCCTGTTTGTTCTGCTGTAGCAATGAAACCGTCGAAACTGACTTTCCAATTTGTTGTCCATTTTAAACCAACTTAACTCTTATAACGAAACATACCAAACTCTACACATGTCCTTCTGAACTATTTGTTAACCATTTAAGCAAAACTTGGGGATGTTTGTTAATCATTGTTATTATTATTAGTTTCTCGATATTAATCACTTTCCGTACATTGCTAGTTGATTGAAAAAGAAATAACTGGAATGAAACATTCGTAAAAGCGTAAAGACAGCTTAATGACAGCAGCTTACAAATAGTATCGTGCGCTTGATGAATTGTGTGATGAGTACAACTAAATCCGGCAGTGTCCAAAATGTTTTTTAATAGGTTGTGCGTAAAGTAAGTACCACCGTAATTATATCTTGACTTTCCATTTGCGAAACATTTATATCGATTTTGTCACGTTCCGTGAAATTAAGCCAAACCAAACAGAGGAAAAATGTCTGGTGGCGGATATTTGGCTCTGTTAATTAAAACAAAATTGACCAAACTTCAAAGATGTCCGCATTAAACTCTTAGTTCATAATCAGAATAGGATCTTTTATAAATTGGATTCCTGAAGCCTTTTAGATTCCATAAAGTGCAAAGCAATCAAAGATCAAATAGCACAGGCCAGACATTCAGGCGGTGGTCACGTTGTTTGCGTCATGGTTGTCTACACAACAGCTTTGGCAGCCACATTTAGGATAACAGGAACACAATAGCTTAGTTGCTATCGTTTTATGCTGTTATGACGAGATATTAAAGGGAAAAATGTCTCCTCTTCAGTTAGCTGCTAAACGTTTGACATACTCAGACAAGAGATCGAACTTAATCATCAGGGTCTACTTAAAATGGCATTAGGTTAGACAAATACAAAGTTTATCATTCGATCAGGGGTTTGGAATAAAAATGGTTGAATTGATGTACTTTTTCCTTTCTCATCGCAAGTTAAAACACCATTGGTATCCATGAAGTTCAATAGTTGATTTCCTGAATGAGCTGAGGGGTTAAAGTGACGTGCACTCACAGAAAAATGATTAAAAGAACCCTTAAAATTAAACAATTTTTACGTATTAAAATTCAGCGATGAAACTGCTGACAGCCACATGGAGACAGTTTTTTGATTTAAGCTTAATTAAAAAATTCTGTCTTTGGCTTTTAATAAAGTCCTGTTATTAGTCATGTTTAATAGATCACCGGACGATGATGTTACTTTACGCCTCGTTTTCCTCATTGAAGGGTCATGCACAATGAATTCCAGCCTAAAACTTTACCGAGAGCCTTCCGATGAGGCGTTATTCAGACATCGCGGTACCCAAACCGTTAGAGCTTTCAAATTTTTGTTCAGTTTTTAACACTGAGAGTATATGACTGCTGAATGCTCGCCAAGTTGGACGTCATGGACAAGTAAAACATATTTCTCTTTTAAATTATTCTTCTTTGTACCCGAAAGCAAACTTTATACCTCTCTCATTGCTCTTCTTTTACAAAAAAATATATATGTATATTATATGGGTTCCACAGGCTCCACAGTCTGCTGATCCATAGTTTAATAACACACAAGAATATGGAAGAATCACAACAAAATTTTGGACACCAACCCGTCAAGATTTAAGTTGAGCAGAAGTTTTATTTGAGAGGTTAGAATTGATACCTGGTCAATTCGCTGAAAGAAACATCGTCTCTTTCGAATTGTTGCGAGCTAAAGCGAAACAATTTTTTTTTTCGAGATAGCATATTTACATCCTCTTCATTGTTTTATAGTTTGGTTGCACTCCGAATAGCCCGTGTAAAAAAGTTTTTCGAAGGAAATTCGCGAAGGTCTACCGCATCCTTGGGAATGATTTCCACATGCAACACTTTCTGTTTAGCTGGTTGGTAAATGCGAAGATGCCGCATGTTTTAAAATTTCTCCGTCTTCTCCCAAGGAAAGGAAGTCCTGCGTAGATGTTGAAGGGTATATAGCGATTAAAATGCTGTAGTACTCGTATAACTCGACATCTAATAAACCCCTTTTGATTGTTTCAAGTGTTTTTCTTGAGATAACGATCAATTTATTTGCTCATTTTCTCTTCTACAGTCATACTTCATCTGTTGATGGAATTGCCAGGAACGGGTGAGGCAGCGTAATTTCAATTTGCACCTTAAAATGAGCGAGAACAAAATATATGTATGTGACTGATTATCATAAAAGTTAGTCATAAAATTCCTGTTGAAATTACATTGAATTGTGATTAAAAGCGTAAGTTGGAAAGCAGAACAAAGACGTCGTAGAATAACGGTGCTATTACCCTGATCTCCCCAATTTCCACTTTTAAAACAGAGCCTAATTCTAATTTCTGCCTCAGTGAGGTAGAGGGTTTTGATGCCCATCGTTTTTTTTTAAATTAATGATATAAAAATACTTACTCGTTTCTATCATTATCGTTATCACTATTCTTATCATCAGTATACATTTTTCGCTTATTTATTACTTCATATATTTTCCTCTCATAGAGTGCCAAGCGACCTGTTTCAAAAACTCCTCTTACATATTTTCCAAAAGCGGAGCAGATTGGTCCTTCAACAGGTTTGTCTGCTTGAGACAGGGAGGTGATTTAGTCTCCATCGAAACTGAAAAAGAATGGGAGTTTATCAATCATGAGATTCAAAACCGTGATACTTGGAATACTGGTGCGTGGCACATTGGTTTAAGGAAGATAAACGAGGTTTGGAGATGGGTGAGTGGAGAACAACTTAATATTTCGAAATGGCGAGATTCTGAGCCAGGTGGGAACCACAAAAGGGCGGAAATATCCAAGAATGAATGCCTCTTTAATGGTATCTCTTGGTATGATGAAAATGCCTACATTTGCGAGATGCCCGGAGGTAAGATCAAATTCTAACCGTAAAGTATGTTGTGTTAAAACGTTAGTCTTGCACTTGTGTCGTGAAAATTTCTATTGCTTCTTAAAAGTAAAAATATTGTTCACAGAATATGCTCAGCTCACCTAACTTGTGGTGTGTGAATGAATGAACTTTTAGGCGCGTATAAGTAGTTGATAATGATGCCCGTGAAAAGTTCCGGGACACATGTTTCAAAAAATTAATTTGATCACTCTAGAATTATCCTTTTTGCATAGCATGCAGCTGGAAAAACAGCAATCGAAATTGTACATTTCACAACTTTTGTCGGGTACGTTGTGTTTGGGATAATCTAACCAACGGAATTTTCCCTTGTTACAGATTACAAAGCGTGTTCACAAAGGTCAGAGAGTGTATGCATGTTGTTTTGAACGTAACACGTCGACGCATTTTATCTTTTATTTCATTCAGATATAAAATGAATGAAAGTTCTATTAGTGATTTCAATTGTGAACAAATACCTCACGTTTTAGCTTTCTGAGTTACTTCATGCGAAGGTTTAGGTTAATTGCAAATGGCTTTAAGGTTGCGTGTCCACCCGTTTAATGACATATTTGCCACCAAAATTCATTTCAAAACCGTTTTTTTTTGGTGGCAACCAAATTGATTTGAGAGATAGAAAGAGAGAATTAATAATTACCAATGGGCTTGATTTTCATTAAAATGGTTTGCTTTAAAATGCTGCTCAGCCGGCAAAACGAAATATATTTATAAATTTTAGCAACGAAGCTAAGGATGTAGTCGTAAGAAGAGATAAGAAAATCCAGGCCGCATTAAGAACCAATAAGATTGCAGGATTCGCTACCGTACCCTCTAAGAAAAACAAATAAAAATTACAGTTCTTTCGAGAAAGGTTGTCATGAAAAAACGTATCGGAAATTTAAGCGATAACCCATAATGGTATTGCAGGTAGCCTTCAGGTTCAGCTTTCAGGGAATCTGAGAAAATGTCACGTCAAGGACGAGGCATCACGGGTTTGATGAACCTATTTTATTTACAAGACTGACTTTAAATTCTTAATAGCATGAAAAACGAAAACAGGAACGAGCTTAGCCTAATTAATTTATCTTTCTTTTTATTTCTATATTAAGTACCGTTACCCAGATAATCTTTGGAGATTGTCGCGCACATTTTAAATTTTTGCTCTTTTATCCGACAACTTTTCCCGTAACAACCGTGTAAGGTTAACGGCATATCTCCAGTTACACATTTATGAGAAGTTTCACTTACATTTAATTTTACGTTTTTTAAGTCTGTTCAGAAGGGGGACGGAGAATAGGGGGCGGGGGAGAGGGTGGTGTCAACTCAACAGGAACTAATTAATATTCAAAAACATAACTACGAAAGTTACGTGAACTCACAAATAATCTTAGCTGATGTGAAGTTAACTAATTCAGAAAAGCAGGTCAGGGATGGCGGACACCGTAGTGAAGAAAGATGTATTGTATTAATTGATACTGATCAAATAGCAATCAAAGAGAGAATAAGTCAGGTTTCCTTTCTCATTTAGTTTTCTATTTTATTGTGACTGTGATTGTAATCTTTCTATGTTAACATTATTATTATAATTATTACTTTGTTTATCATCATTATGATAATTAGCATATTTGGTTTCGCTCTTATCATTATATAGAGTGCCCCAATATAACTTTTAAAAATTCTTGGAACATAATTTCGGTTTATGGATTGCCCTGGCACTTGAACAGAGACATCTGCCAAAGCCTGGAAGGGGACCTAGTTTCCATTGAAAACGAACAAGAATGGAATATCACCAAGGACGAGATTGGAAGGCGAAATATTAAAAGAAGCCATTCCAAAAAATGGACTATTGGTTTAACGAAAAAGGCCGGGAATTGGACCTGGGTGAATGGAAGACCGCTGACTATTCGCAAATGGGGACAAGGGGAACCAAGTGGTGAACACAACGCGGCTTTCATCTACGAGCTGGACAGTAATGGCGGATGGAGCGTGTTTTTTGGTAGTGTTAATCGTACACGTTGGGGAAACCTGTACGCCTATATTTGTGAGATCTCCAAAGGTAAGTTTTTTTTCTGCTTTTTTGTTTTTTATTACTGTTATTATAATTATTTTGAGTAAACCTAGAGGTAATTGAAGAGCTGTGTTGCTCAGAACTAAACAATATATTTCCTTTTTGGAATAATTAATTCCTCTGCATTTTATTTGTGATTTTTTTTCCTGCAGATTCAGCTCCTGGACAAAACTTTTCGCAGGACTCTTACCAAGCCTACGTTGGACCACCTTGCGCGCAACAATATGGTAAGAGGAGTTGGTCACTATAATGGCGTGAAATATGTCCCAAGTACAACAAATAACCCATTCTCGGGAAAAGCAAAGCTAAAGAATGAAAAGAAAAACATTGCTCGTTAGTCTTTTCCATTTACATCCGTTTTAACAAAAGGGATGTTCGAGGAACCGGTTAATGTATTCCAATAATGTCTGTTGGCATAGCCCACTTCAGGTTAAGCACTTCGTTACAGTGGCCACGTATAGTGTTAAAACACATATCGTAAAACCTGTGTTGAAAGGAAACCAAAAGGATTCTCTCTAGCGTCCACTTATTATAAAATATTCGTTTCATCCAAGTTTTGAAAATTGTACAATGTGACAAGTTTTAATTTTCGAACTTTAAGCCGTTTGCGTTTCCTGTCATTCGCTTCCCGATACTTTAAAAATATACAAACACGAGCTAAAAAAAATCCGTGTCACTGTTATTATCATCAGTATACATTTTTCCTTTATTTATTACTTCATTTATTTTTTCTCATAGTGTGCCAGCCAACCTGTTTCAAAAACTCCTCTTACATATTTTCCAAAAGCGGAGGAGATTGGGCTTTAAACAGGTTTGTCTGCTCCAGACAGGGAGGTTACTTAGTCTCCATCGAAACTGAAGAAGAATGGAAGTTTATTAGTAATGAGATTCAAAAGCGTGTTACTTGGAATACTAGTGCGTGGCACATTGGTTTACAGGAGATAGACAAGGTTTGGACTTGGCTGAGTGGAGAACGACTGAATATTTCGAAATGGCGTAATTGTAAGCCAGGTGGGAACAACAAAAAAGCGGAAATATCCAAGAATGGAGGCCTCTTTAATGCTATTTCTTGGTATGATGAAAATAAATACATTTGCGAGATACCCGGAGGTAAGATCACATTCTAACTATAAAGTATATTAGAGTCTTGCACTTGTGTCATGAAAATTGGTCTTGCTTCTTAAAGTAAAAATATTGTCCACAGAATATGCTCAGCTCACCTAACTTGTACGTGTAAGCGATGAATGAACTTTTTTGCATCGCCTGCAGCTGGAAAAACAGCCATCCAAATTTTACATTGCACAACTTTTGTCGAGCACGCTGCGGTTGGGATAATCTAGCCAACGGAATTTTCCATTGCCACAAGTTCAAAGGCGTGTTCCCTGAGGTCAATGAGTGTATGCATGCTGTTTTGAGCAGAACCCATCGACGTATTTTTATTTTTTTATTTTTAGTCAGATATAGGTTTCTATAAATGAATTCAATTCTAAACAAATACCTTACATTTTAACTTACTTCTAATGAAGCTTTAGATTAATTACAAAAGGTTTTTAATCCGCGTGTCAACCCATTTAAAGACATATTTGCTACCAAAATTCAATTCAAAACCACTTTTTTTTCCTGGAAACCAAATTGTTTTGAGAGAGAGAAAGAGAAGATTAATAAGTTATCAATCCGCTTGATTTGCTTTGAAATAATTTGCTTTAAAAAAATGCTCAACCCGCAAAACGAAATATATTCAGGAAAAATGGCAACGAAGCTAAGGATGTAATCGGCCCGTAGGCAGAGATAAGAACATCCGGACCGCATTGGGAACCAAGAAGATTGCAGTACTCGTTACCATGCCCTCTGAGTCCTTTCAGTTTGTTTGTCATCATTATGATCATTATTATTTTTGTTTTCATCTTTATCATTTTTTAGAATGCCCAGATATAACTTTTAAAAACTCTTGGTACATAATTTCGGTAAAAAGATTCTCCTGGCACTGGAACAGGAACAAGTGCCAAAGCCAAGGAGGGGACCTAGTTTCTATTGAAACCGAAGAAGAATGGAATTTCATCAATGACGAGATTCAAAGGCGAAATATGACAAAATATGACAATAGATGGAGTATTGGTTTAATAAAAAAGGCCGGGAATTGGACCTGGGTGAGTGAAAGACCGCTGAATATTTGCAAATGGGGACAAGGGGAGCCAAGCGGTGAACACGACGTGGCTTTCATGTACAAGCTGGACAGTAATGGCGAACGGGGCGTGTTTGGTAGCTTGGAGGGTACAAGTTGGAAAAGCCGGCTCGCTTGTATTTGTGAGATTTCCAAGGGTGAGTTGATTTTTGTCGTCGTTGTTGTTAATGTTTCGAGTAAACTAAAAGGCACCAGAAGCGCTTAAGTGTAATAAAAACATTATTTGCTAAAGTTTGTGATACTCACGAAAGAATTTATCAAAAACCCTTTGACAGTCAGGACCAAGCCAGGAAAGAGATGGCTTTGACAAAACGTCCTCTGCGTCACAAACATAAGCTGATATTTACTGCACTCTATATTTCCCAAACGACAATCCTTGATTATAGCTGCCTATAATCTAGCTATTGGACGATTTTTTTTTTCATTTGATCGTAAATGATACTTTGAAACACAAACAACAGCACCCTAAGGTTTACATGCCATAATTTGTTTGATGCAAATCGGCACGCTCTGGTGAAACGGTGTGGCCACTATTTTCATCAACGATAAAAAGCATCCAAAACGTCCTCTGCTGACGCAAATACGAGTTGATAGTTTTCGCACTCTATGTCGTCCAAACGACAAGCCGTGTGCGTAGCTACCGTTAATCCATTTGATCATAAACAACAATACGTTAACGAAGCTGACAAACGACAACTACGCTCGAAGGTTTCTCTCGTGCAAACCAATAACTGAAGTATCAGGCTTTTCCCAAAGCCATTTGACAACGCAGCCAGTAGATACTTTCCAGAACCAGTGTAGAAGCTTCTTTTTGTTCCGATTTTAATGCGCTAGACATATTAAATTGCGAAAGACACTTAAGTGCTTCCTCGAAAGCGGAATCGAAACTAGCAACTTCATCATTTACAGAGTTTGCCATCTTTCGCATTTTCCCGCAAGAGCTAAATGTCTAAATGCCATTTGGCTTATGATTCACAGCTGAAGCTTAACTACACCAATCAGGAACTCCGATCGTAGGCAAACGGGTTTTGCAAAATAATGATGACCTCGGACAGGCGTAATATCGATTCCCCTACCCCTACCCTTCTCCTTATTACTGACCGTCGGCCACCCATATCGCAGGCGCGAAGATCTAGAAAACTCCCGCGTGTTTTCCAAGGTTCACTTACAAGCGTTGACAGTCACCGCTGTGATTTCTTTTGTTTAACTCGACTCTTTTCTTAAATCTGCCTGCCCCACCCAAGCATTGCGGTGCTTTTGATACTTTCGACGATTAGAAATTAGGCTTTTTTAATTGCAAAATCAGGGTTTCCTTTTTCCCAAGTTTTCCTGAAAATGTGCCGGTTAGAAAAAACAAAAAACAAACAAACAAACCGTTGTTACACGAAAACTAAATAATTATGCTAGAAGACTTTTTCCAGCGAGACGATCAAAGTTAAACCTAAAAAATCCAAAAAGGGTCGGTAAATTAGTAGCAAACAGCTCAAGATGAAATAAGAAATTAATACAATTAGTACGTCATACTCAGTGGTTTAACAATTAATACGCGCGGATATTTTGCGACTTGCGTGGCATTTTCCGAGTCCCGTAGGGGCGAGTTGAAATGACAAAAACTGGGCAAAATGTGTACTCGTATTATATGTTAAACCAGTGATTAAGGGATGTATTATTGCATCACTACCTCATTTACTAATATTTTTGAAAAACATCTTACATCCCTATCTTAGCATCGATCATACCAGACGTGTGCGAAAGACGAATATAATGCAAAGGAAACAATGAGAGTGCTCTGTATAACCAATCGAGTGGATTTAAGAGTTTTGATCGTTCATAGCGGCCATTTTGTTAGTCTGCTTTCCGTCGCATTTTTGCCCTCAAGTGTAATACTAAGGTAATTTTATCTTGTGATATAATCTTGATGTTTATTTTTCCTTAAAGATTCATCAATATCTACGCTACCCTCGCCATCGTTGTCACCATCGCCCTCGCCATCGCCATCGCCATCGTCGTCACCATCGCCCTCGCCATCGCCATCGCCATCGCCATCGCCATCGCCATCGCCATCGCCATCGCCATCGCCATCGCCATCGCCATCGCCATCGCCATCGCCATCGCCATCGCCATCGCCATCGCCATCGCCATCGCCATCGCCATCGCCATCGCCATCGCCATCGCCATCGCCATCGCCATCGCCATCGCCATCGCCATCGCCATCGCCATCGCCATCGCCATCGCCATCGCCATCGCCATCGCCATCGCCATCGCCATCGCCATCGCCATCGCCATCGCCATCGCCATCGCCATCGCCATCGCCATCGCCATCGCCATCGCCATCGCCATCGCCATCGCCATCGCCATCGCCTTCATCGTCGCCATCGCTGTCGCCATCGCAGCTGGTATGTTTTCTAAATAGTCATTACCGTTTTTATGCATGTCACTTTTCAGGATCTTCTCGGTGACGCACATTTTTTTTTAATTCTAGGCAAAGGAGTATGTTTCAAAATTACGCGGAATAAATATTGCCAGAAACAGTTCCATACAGGTATCCAATGTTCATAATTTAACGGCTTTTTAACTTTGATATATGAACGATAAAAAGTAATTAATATATAGATAGCGAGATTTACGCGCCAAAAGGCATCGAGATAAAAATAGTCTCTTCGGTCTAGAGAAGCCAACCTATTGGTATTACGATTTTTTTACCAATGAAAAACGACGTATCGACGATCCCAATGGCTGTATCATTATTTTCACTGGTGAACAAAACCGTGTCGCTCACTCGCCGTTCCTCTTGACTGACAAATAGCACATTCTAAGAGCTTAAGCGCATTTTTCTTTGGAAAGATGGCTTCAAAGCAGACTGACCATTTTCAGAGCCTAGATTCGTCAGTAGAAGAGTTCATAGACGGACAGAAAAATGAAAACACCAAGAAAAATAGCAAACGCGATGTTGCTTTCTTCCACTAATTTCTTGTTTTGAAAGGCGAGACGAGAACTGTGAGGCGGCTTGATCGCGCGTTGTTTTCCTTCGAAAGTTTATCTTTGAGTTCTGTTCGCCTTTGAATCTCGGTATGTATATAATAAATAAGTTATTTGACGGTTAGTTCGCTTGTATGATTTTTATTCACTCGTTGCGTAAAAATCGTATGCGCTCACCAACCGTGAAATAACCTTTAAATATATAACCTTTAAGGATAAACCACCATTCAAGCCATATGAGGTGAGGATGGTGAGGCTTAAAAAATAATCCAGTCTCCTAAAAGAGTTTTTTCGCCAATGAATACCCTGAACACCATTTGGGGCCTCCCACTGGACTTTTTCCGCATCTTTGATATGAATTGTATATATGAAACTCGCTAGTCAATGACATGGAAATATTTTATGTAATTTTAGGAGGCGGTAGCTGTGTTTGAAGATTTCACCATAAAAATCAAGAACTTCACAAAAGGCAAGGCCAGCGTGAAAGAAGTTAAAAAACTGAAAAAATTCATCTTTGAGGTGGCAGAGGCCGTCGAAAAATTTGCTCTTAATTATAGCAAGCGACACCAGAGTAAAATGAAGACTTCAGAAAGGATCGTTTCCCCAAAAATGGGTGAGGTTGCGGCACTCAATCCCGTTTAGTTTCAAAGCCTATTCCTTTGTCGCTTACTGACTCGCTGACTGACCGAATAAGTGGTCTAATTCCCTATAGCTAGATAATGTAAGAACTCAGTTATATGCCCAACTTTTTAGAAACGTTATTGTTGGATGTCATCGATTCATCTGTTCTTTTACTTTGTTCGACACTTTGATTTTTCACGGTGGGGAAGGAAATTCAAGGTATTCTTGAACAATCAACAAGAGAGAATCGGAATCCTTCAAATTGTGAAACCCTTCTTCTCACTCTGTTTATTGAAACTTTTCTTAAATAATAGATTGGTGAGTAACACTTTACTAACTGAAATTGACAAATCTAATAAATACTTTCCGCTTACTTCATATAGTACACTGGGCTCAAAATTGGCCTATCGTCTGCGATGCATGTAAATGCAAGATTTTTAACCGTACTTGTAAAAACTCCCCAATGAACTCTATAGTTCTCCAAAGAGACGGTTCGAGGAACGAATTGAGTTTTGAAAATTTTATTCCGTCCACTGCTACTCACTTTTTCATCAGTTTTACATTGAAGAACGTTTTATAAATGGTTGAAATCGAATAGTCGTTGCAGGGCAAATAAGATACAAACAATACACGTTCATCCAATAAGATTATGAAATATTTGTGTACACCGCAAAACGCATTTTTGTCTAGATGTGCTATTGCAAATTTCACCGTAGGTGCTTTCATTTGTCATTTTTTTTCCGACAGTTTTGGTCATTCAAAAAGCCTATCGCCAGAATGCAAGTGGCCTCCTCTTTGAGGAACAACAATGGCAAGCGAGGATCGATATCGCTTCTTCAAATTTTGAGGAAAATGGTTCGTATTGACTATTGTGGTAACTTTACAACTTTTAGTATTACCTTGATTTCTCCAATCGAAATTTCTGTATTGAAACAAAGTCTATCTTCTTTAATCATTCGCCTTCCTTATAATGTTGTTTAATAACTTTTTTGTTGATTCTTGGGGGGTTTTAAGGATCACTGGTAGTTGCGTCTATGTACAAGGATCTCCATGACCTACTTGTGACAGATCAAGCCGTCAGGAATGAAACAGGCAACCAAAGGTGACGTTACTTTCATATTATTCCATGTCGTTTACCCCCAAAAACACATAACTCGGAAACACATAAGATCTAAATTCAACTAACCTGAACTTAGGGACTTTCCAACAACCCTAACTAAGGATGGAAGACTCCCTGTTTGTCTCTGACCGTTCCACCTTCATGAAAAATTCGCTTGAATCTATCAAAAGTATGTAATGTTGCTTCCTTGCTTCTGATCCATTTTCAAATAAAATTTCTTCATAGGTATATTAACTCCAGGATAATGGCCGTAACTATGGACCCCAAGGCGAAGAAATTGGGAGAAAATGTCATCCTAAAGTTCAAAAACCTAAAGGTAACATGAAAATTAGCTGCAATGCGTTGTTTGTATTTATTCTGACAAGATAAAATCCATTTTCAGGTCTTGGCAGCAGAGAAGCGCTGCGTGTTTTGGAGTGGCCTCAGAAAAAGGTAAAAAAACTACAGTACATTATTGTATGGTATTCATTCCTTCTTAAATTAAATTAAGTACGGAGGAGAATGAATGAACTTTCTCAGATGTTTTTGTGCAGATGAACACTTTCCTGGAAGCCAACATGTTGTCGTTTTTAGAGCGGGGAAGTCTGCTTGAAATGTTCTCGCAGCTATGACTACAACGGAAGAAAATCTAAGCGCAAAATTGTCAAACATCACCTCTTACCCAAACGATGAATAATTTTTTAACTTTACTTTTTTTCATGTCTGACAGCTTTTCAGAGGAAGGATGCCATGTAGTTACATCGGAAAGCAACTCAGAAGAAACAGTTTGCAGCTGTAATCATTTGACGCATTTTGCCGTCTTAATGGACTACGCCGGTAGCACAAAGGTAATAGAATTATTTTTGCCTTACTCAATAATTTTATGGGCTCAATTAACTAACTCAATATTGTCATTTAATTTTCCTTTTTTTGACACAGCTCACCGAGGAGGACGAAACAATTCTGAAAATTATCACTTACGCGGGACTGAGCCTTTCCATTGTCGGAATACTTTTAACATTAATACTTTATTCTTGCCTCACGTAAGTAATGTACCTGAATAATAATGAGGTAGATTCTTAACTCTCCTCAACAAGGCTGGTAAGAAAAGAGATCTCAGTGCAACTCTCCATGCAAACAAGAACATGCATGTTGGATAATTCACAAATTCAAGCAACATTTCATGCCCCATCACGAACTCTTGAACAACTCATGTCTTCAGTCTGTTGTTGTTATTGTCGTTGTTGCTTTTGTCTAATTCATTATTTTCTTTTTTTTTTTTTTACTATTATCTCATCAGAGATGTTTGTCAACCCCTCTCTCAAATTCGACTGAGTGTTTCTGTGTCCCTTGGAGCTGGACAGATCATCTTCCTCGCCGGAATAAACGCCACAGGAAACAAAGTCAGTGGCGCCTCCTTCTGTCTATAGAATGAGTTTACTCTTTGCACCGTAAATATCTTGTCGAAAGGAGCACGTTAAGAAGTATACGAAAACTCTTTCTTTTCACAGGCTACCTGTGTTACAATAGCAGCTCTGATCCAGTATTTCTTGATGGCCGCTTTTTGTTGGATGCTGATCGAGGGAATATATCTCTACTTCTTCGTTGTGAAAGTTTACAACATTAACACCAAGATGTTCATGTACCACGTCATCTCATGGGGTAAGTTCATTATTTTACAACATGCATTGGTAACTGTAACCATGCTTTCGGATCGCCAAGTCTGGTGTTGTCATGCAGTAAAGTATATCGATTTCCTTCCTTTCTTTATGGGTAGGTCTTCCAATGATCATGGTGGCCATTTCACTTGGCATCGCTGCTAGGAAAGAAGGGTTACAAAGCTATACGAGTGATAAATAGTAAGGAAAATGATTCAACGGTTTCTTCTACCTCTTCTCCTTCATTGCATTCTTTCTTTTGTAGTTTTGTATATAGTTTAGTATCATTTCATTCGCTGAAAATTTGTCTTCCTTTTACTTCTTTGAGTTTAGTTGCTGGCTTTCCTCGACTAATAACCTGACCTGGATATTCGTCGCCTTCGTCGCTTTCATTGAAGTTGTGAGTTTATGATTAGTGTTGGTGATTGTGATTGTGATTGGTATACCTGCACTAATTACTACCAAAGATTTTTTCACTACTCTTTCAAATGGGAGTTCAGTATTTCCCATACGTCCTCACACAATATTTAACATTTTCCTTTTTTCCTAATTACCCACAATAAACTTTGGACGTAGCTGCTGTTTCGGGGATGTTGGTCAATTTTTAACCTGTTATTTGCCTTCATAGGCATGAGATGGCTTCATATATTCTCCAACTTTTACTACATAGTATGAAAACAAAAACGTCTCCCCCTTCCTTGTTTCACATTGATATACCAAGATATGATTTTCGCGGAAAAATAACTCATAAAGCAACATTTCAAAAGGGGAAAGGAGCAGAAAGAGTAGGAAATATTGCATTTATATCATTGAACATGAGGCTTCACTTGGCGTAGTTCTTTCAGTGTAGACACTTTCGTTCGCGATTTCTTTAGCTCATTGGTAGAGGATCGAAGCTCATACTCTAGGTCCCACGGTTGATAGTTCTATTTCCTGTAGGTAGAGAACTCTACGCCCGACCCTTGTTACAAAACTAGTAACGTCTTTTGCAAGAAAGGATCCTCTCTCACTTCGGCGATTCAACTACCATATCTGAATACTTAATTTATTTTTATTGTATATTTTAGCTCAACGTCTTGATACTCGTACGAGTCATAAAGGAGATGACCAATCTGGTGCAGCCAACAGCGAAAGACAACCATTTTCAGCAAATACGGTAAGATTCACAACATAAAACTAAAACAAAATAGTAGAAGAGATTGCCTGTGAGGCTATATTCGCCAACTTTCTCATTCCTTAATCAGTAAGGCCTTACGATATCTAAAATGAAAATTCATTGTCAAACGAAAAAAAGGAATATTTTCTTTTAATTTCTAGAATTGGCATCAAAGCATGCGTGGTGATGATTCCCCTGCTGGGTGTCACATGGCTATTCGGTCTCCTCTCGCCTTTACATAAAGCTTTCGCCTACATCTTCACCATACTTAACTCTACTCAGGTGAGTGTTTGATGGTAACTCTCAAAAAGCATTCAATCTCGATTACATATTTAACTTTCTAACCAAGTGAGACACCATTAAAATGGTCAGATGATATTTATGAAAATTTTGAGAAAAAAGACAACCGTTAACTACGCAAGAGAAGACAGCTCTCCATTTATGAGATATGCAAGTTTCCTCCCTTCTTGGAAATCTTAATTAGATATTTGACTAATTTATTTGAATATTGTGAAAACTAATGATCTTGGAATAATTGTTATGCTGCAGGGTTTCCTGATTTTCGCTCTACACTGTATGCGAAACACACAGGTGAGGAAAAAATGAAACTGATTATAGACTAACTGCATATCATCAAGTTTTAGTGTTTGAATAAATATCCGAGGGCTAAGAACCATATTTCATGTTTCTCATCTATCTGCAGATCAGAGAGCGATTCAAAAGAAAGATCAACATCGTTTTTCCATCCTCTATAAAGAAGAGGAAGAGCTCACGTGTCAATCCAAATGAGGTTGGGGATGTATGGGCAGTCGAATTGCAGTATTGTGCTGAATTTGAATCGAAATCGCACTTAACTTAAATAACTGGATCCAGCCAATCGGAAATGACAGTCAATTACTTAGTACAATCACTCATTTAAAAAAGTGATTAGTCGCTTGCAATCGGTCTGAGTTACAATTTGCAGGTTAAAGAAGGTCGTTCTAACCATCATTTTTTAAGCATTCAACTAGTTGTAATTGTGACTCTAATAACTATTATAACTATTATAATTATTATAAATAAAAAATAAATAAACCAAGCTATAAATTTAAATTTGTAATGGCTCGGTATGTTGATGACATGCCTTTCGAATAAGACCACAGTCTGCGACATACGAGGTGGAAATTTATGCCACGAAATCACGACTCGTCTTTCTTTAAAAAGCACTCAAGGACGCAGCTTTAATTGCATGTATTCATCTTTTGATTCTCGCGCGCTAACTTTCTACGCTTACTGCATGAATGTTTCATATTCGACGTTTCACTCATTGAGTTTCAAACTTCTCATCAAACACTGTTAGTACTTTTAACTATAAGTTATGGGTAATAACGGTAAAAAAAGTTTCTAGACATTTCTAGAATGCCTAGTCATGCTGACATGTATACCAAGGAACTTTCTGGAGCATTTTATGAGGTTACGTAGCTATGGTGTAACACTACAAAATAGCTGTGTTTAAAAATTTCAGAATTTTCTAGAATACTTGGTATATAAGGACTCAGTCGTACAGAAGTAGTACTTGTTGCTCTAGGGAGTGACTGACGTTTCAGAAAGCTATACCAAGGGAGAGCTACTGTGGGAGATTGCTAATTTCGGAGGACTTTGGAGACAACTGTGAGATTGTGTCAGTGGTGAGCTAAGATATAGTTTGCGGTGATAGTTTGTTGTAGGATTAAATAAGTTTATTTAGGATAAATACTATAATTTTTTGGAACCGCTCCTCATTCAGAATATTTTACACTTAATGTATGGTCCCGAGGAAAACAGTTAGTTTTGTTTCTCCGATAGTTCTAATGTTCCCCGAGACAAACATCAGCACTCGAGGGAAAACAAAACTAACTAGTTTCTCGAAGGACCATTCGTTAAGTTCTTTGTTATATATTTAGACTTTTCCTTAAACTATCATATGATCAGGGGCACGTGATCAAGAATCATCCGATCACGGTGCTCATTTTCTTGAGTGAAAGTCTTGGCATATAACAATACAAGTTGTTTAATAAAGTAGTTGGGTTTGTCAAAAGAAAGTGTTCTTTCTGTCAGTTAAATTATACCGCAACAAATAATGCTACTAATAGTAGCAGCTCAATGAGTAGATATTTGAATAAATAAGCAACTAATTTAAAAAGAAAAGAAAAAAAAATCTTATGGCTGAATCTTTTAGTGGATCAGTTACATTTGACAATTTTTTTTGTTATTATTATTATTTTTCGCTAGAAAAAGGAGTACCGTTTTGAATCTAAAATAAATCCAATAATTTGCAATTCGATAGGCTGATGCTAGCCGGAAATGGCATAAACTAAGAGATTCTATTAATCTCTTGCGCAAATTTCATGAAACAGCGATTAAAGAACATTTACACAGAGTAGACAATTCAAAGGAAAATGTCTAGCGATAGAAATGCGGAGTATCCCCATGGGCCTGGTCTTCAAATATCACTACAACGGAGAGGCCAGCATTGAAGAGGAATTTCGACTGACGAGAGAAGGAGTCCACTTTGTAGATGTGCCTAACAGTTTACAACAGTCTAAACTACGTCATGCCTATTTATAAGTCAACATGATGACGAAGTGTAGGATTTAAACGGAAGAAGGTACAAAAAGGAACATTCTGAAATGCACAACTAAATTTCTCTCTACATTGCTCAAATGCGCTGGCCGAAACGCTTCAAGCTTCGACTGACTCAATATATCGCAGCTAAGACGAGCGAATATTCCAGAATAAATAATCAATTATTCCATGAGCGCGGAGAGATACTCAGAGAGTAGAATGTCTCGCTCACAGAGCACATCACTATGACCCAGGGCCCGGTTGTTCAAAACTGCGATTAGCGCTAATTCACGATTAAATAGGCTAATCGCCGATTAAATTTAAGTCGCCGATTAGTTTCTGTTGTTCAAAGCCCGATTATTCCTAACCTTCGATCAAACCAAGGGTTAAATCTAACCCTGCTCGCTAGGTGGATTAAATCCTTAATCGGCAGATAAAAAAATAAAAATCACAACATGGCTGACTTGTTGTATGGTTGTGTTGGTGTTGATGGGCGAAGAAAAAGGAAGCAAAGAGAGTTTAGGAGCATCGGTTTCACGATAGATGGATATACAGACGAAGAATTAAGAGCAAGGTATCGCTTTGGAAAGGAGTCTATAGAGTATATTACCGACCTTTTGGCAGATAATCTTCGTCGTAAAACCAACCGCAATCATCCTCTCTCCGCTCTCCAACAAGTCCTCATTGCTTTGCGCTTCTACGCAAGTGGCAGCTTCCTTCAAGTGGTGGGAGACACCGTTGGTGTTAACAAGTCGACAGTGTCACGAGTGGTGGCAAATGTATCCCTGGCACTTGTCGCTAGACAACAAGAGTATGTCAAGTGGCCAAGACAACAGCAAGAGCTGGGCAGTTTAAAAACTGCCTTTTACCAGCGAGGACGATTTCCCTGCGTGATCGGATGCGTCGATGGCACGCATATCCGAATCCAAGCGCCCAACAAGAACGAGAACAGCTACGTGAACCGTAAAGGTTTCCACTCTATCAATGTCCAAGGCATATGTAACCACGAAGGTAATCGATGCTTTTAAAATCATTTCTTACATCTTGGTAGACTGTTGCATTTTCAGATAACGTCTTAAACGTCATGTAACACACAGTCAACTATACCTGTCCATTCAAGTAAGATTACTCAATAGCAGCAGGGGATAGACACAATTAAGTGATCTACACTGAGTAGACTTGAAAATTTTGTCACATTCACACTGATTGGCTGCAGTGAACGTTTCACCATTGAAGTAAAATCCCTTTGCAGATTACCTTAGGCCTAGTTCAAACGTCGATCTTTACATGTACCGAACCTAATTGTAATTTGGGTCGACTCGAATAATTAAGAGCGGCAGTTGATTCAAACGTCTATACAAATCTGCCGATCCTAATTGATTCAAACGTCGATCTTTACATGTACTTAATAGAAACGTTAGGTTCGGTACATGTAAAGATCGACGTTTGAACTAGGCCTTACATGATATCATTGTTTGCCTTTATTTCAGGTTTGTTTACTAACATTGTAGCTCGATGGCCAGGAAGTACACATGACAGCTTCATGTTCAGGTCCTCAAATCTATGTAGCTACATAGAGGAAAATCATCACTCACTGGATGATGGAATTCTCCTCGGGGACAGTGGGTATGCATTGCGCCCATTTATGATGACCCCGTATATCAACCCAAGCACCCCAGCTCAAGTTGCTTACAATGATGCTCATTGTAAAACAAGGGTAATCATTGAACAAACTTTCGGCCGCTGGAAACGTCGCTTTCATGTTCTCCATTCTGAAATTCGTATGGCTCCAGAAAAAGTGTGCATCATCATTGGTGCATGTGCTGTTTTGCACAATATCGCAATTTTCCTCAGTGAGCCAATGGAGGATGGAGATGTTGGTGGGGAAGCAAATGAGGATTATGTGTACTGTGGTCCTAATCAAGGACAAGCTGTCAGATATCACATTACTCAAACCTATTTCAGCTAGATGCCATCCCTTTGACCAAATGTATCATAAGTAATGTACCAAAGAAAAATAATTGGGTGGAGAATTTTCAGTTTTCCTTGCTCATTCAAGTTTTTTATTTTTGGGATGTGAAATTGTTTTTCACAGTTCCAGTCTGCGTATTTTTTTCCTTCTTAAAACAGGCTTAGCTTGCAATGGTTCTTCTCCCTTAAATCAGTTTCACTTCAATGTATTACCCATCATCTTTTCCCACATCAAAATTACCTAAAAATATAATTTGCAATATCTCATATCCAAACTGGGGATTTCGTCTGCAATTTGCAACAATATTATTTATGGTGAAGATACCTGAAAAATAAACTCGCCGCCATACTAAGAATTACTAAGTTGGCATTTTGAGCATCAAGACTCAACTTTTTCAATGAAGTTTTCAAGGTCATGCCCAATTGTTGTTGTAATCTACATGGTTTACAAAAAAACAATAAAATTACATTTATGTTTTGTGTTCAACACAACCAAGGGACAGGGGGTTATTCCAGCTTCAAAGTGACAGCAGAGTACAACATTTCCAACATTCTTCACTATGAAATCAATACAAGTGGTACGACTTAGGGTGCATAAATCATTCTTGTTTACTATGTAATCAAAGCAAGAGTTATTATTATACAAAAATAAAATACTTCTTTTGCTGCTTGTAAAAGGTTGACATTTTATTATTGTATTTATAAAGATATATATAATATTAACAAATAACTTAGCCACTCTTTTCTTGTTTTATTTATATAATAATTCACTGACTGTTAAGAGCATCTTAAGTATGTTATTTTAATACACTGTCTCTAGATCCAGGGGTACTCTAGAACAATTGGGTGGGGGTGTGCAGACCACTCTCCAAAACCCTTACCCTATTTATGACCAAAATCTGTGATTTTCAATACCCTATTTATGACCTGACCCTAAATCAATACTTTGTTTCAAACTTGCCTTATACTTAGTTCCTTGTTCAGTTCAATGTTAAAGGTATCATGAAGGGCTTTCATTGATCAGTCTTATCAATAATGATAAACAAGTTGCTTCTTCTGAAAAACATGCCAAATTCAGGACTAGAGAGCAAAAAACAGACCCTATAATGATCAAAATGGCTTAAATCGATACCCTATTTATGGCTAAAGAGGCTGAAAAGTCATACGCCTTAGGCGCACATACATACCTTAATAGACCCTATCGGAGAGTAACCTGCACCTCCCCCCACCCCCTGGGTCTTGATACCTGACTGCGAGGAAGTGATTTCAAAAAACTAGATACCTGGCAGTCTGAAATTATTATAGATCTGAATTTCTATGGAACGGCTCATTCAATAATATTCTTCTTCTAATTGACAATGGTAGATCTTTGTTTACAAATTTCAAGCGACTTCAAGTATTATTTTGTAGTTGAGGAAATTTTTGAGCGTAGGCTTACTACAAAACTTGATGTCTCAACACTTAGAAAATATTCATGCTCTGACTCTGGAGTGAACTCTCAAAAATTCAGTCAAGTGTAAACCCTCTAAGAGCACTTGATATTTGTTTGGAAATGCCACACCAATAGTGCTTTAATTTGTAGTGGACCAATTCAACTTTAGCATACTATAACAGCTCACAGGCACTGAGATTTTTTAGAAAAACAATGTATACTCAGCAGTCAAAAACTTTCTCTATTTTGCAACTTAAATTTCTTTTCGCACTTGCTAAGAATGCTTGATCTCTATATAGTAATACCAAGGGATTTCCAAACTAATAACGCCCCTCCATTGAATTGTTCACATTCCTTTGCCATGGAAGTACATAGCATGATGAATGTCCACCACAGGTTGCATGACATTGTCGATATGTTTGCAGTTCTTCACTTCTTGGAACTGTTTACTTGATTAAAAGTTATAAAAGCAGCTCATTCTATATGTTTGATGGCCAGTGAAATCAAAGTGGCTATGACCTACTGAACTTGGAAAATAAACTATGAAAGGATTTCTTCCTGGTTGTGGGGCACTTAAGCCTGCTGTACTTAGGTATATGATTAATACTTTCACCCTTCAGTAACTTATATACTTGTAAGTAACACAGTGTGATAAACACTGGCTCGCCATGTGAGACATTAGGAGTTTGGATCCCCATGGTGAGCTCTGCCTATTTATTTATTTTTCATTGTTTTTTCTTTTTCTGTCAAGAAACCATTTACCGAAAAGGAAGTTATGGTCAGCATTTATAACAGCCAAGTACTTAGGAGAGTGTCTCTGTAAGAACGGTCCGGTCGATTTTGCTTGAGACACGGATTTCGCTCGTTTCTCGTGTGTTGTAAGACATTCGTGTACCTATACTAAAATCACAATCAGTTTGATCGGATCTCTTTATTTTTTCAGAGTTTTATGGAAATTAAATTTCACTCGAGCGAAGGCTTGTGGTGACACTTTTCAAGACTTTAATTTCATACAACTTTAGAGGAAAATTTACAAAAAACTACGGAACTCAGCAAAAAACAAATACCACAGCCATGTATATTAACTCTATCTTATCTATCGAGGCGACTTTCGTAAACATCACGTGTCAATCAAGGAAACAGGAAGACTTGAATGACACCTTATCGGTTCGCCTAAATCAAACACGCCAAAACCGATCAAATTCAAGGTAAATTTCTGAAAAAGTGAGGCGTTCTTAACTGATCCAACTAACATAGCGAGGAAGTAGGTGCCATAGAAAAGATAACTACAGAAAAAAAATTTGCGGCCCAACCTTTACGAGAACTTTATAACTCCGTGAACTTACCTAATTTTCGGCAATCTCCAAGTTTGGCCGCCATTGTGAGGGACTTGTCAACATGAAGCGTAACCGATATAAATAGGGCAGGTTAATCTAAAACCGTCAGAAATACATACGAAAGCAATTCAAATGAACTTTTCTTTCAATTCACGCGGCAAAATTTGAAATTGTTCGTTAAACTTACAATCCTCATGCGACCATTTCTTTCAACAATTCAAACACTACAACTAGTGTTCGAATTCCCCTCGTCGATTCCACCGCAAGAAATAACCTGTGCCACCCAAGCTTCGACTCGAATATGAAGTACGAATCAAGTAACATAACTGCTTCATCTTCGCGGCAATATCACGCTGGTATTTTGATTTTCCGATCGACAAGAACGGTGATCAGGAATAGATCGGTTTGTTTACCTCGTAAACGTGACCGCTGACCAGCCGCTTAGTGAAAACAGCATAGCGCGGGGTGGGGTGGTTGGCGGGCTTATCGTCATAAGATATTCGAATGCATGCTCAAAAAGCTTTAGGACTGTCAGTCTAAACAATGAAGGCATGCTTCGAGGTACAGACAATTTTTATTTTATTCTCATAACTTTCTCCTTTAAATTAGAACTGGTATTAATTAATAGAGTTATCAATATATTTTTAACCGGGCACCCATATAACCTTTTTGCTTGTCATCAGTGGTATAAAATAAAATGTCTTTTTCACCAGAACCTTTTATTTATGCCCCATTGCACGGAATGAACACTATACTTAGAATGTTTGCTCTAAGTAATTTTTTCTGTTCCCAAGAATGTATGCAAAGTGATAGAGATTTGATTCATTCCGCTGACACGTTCTTTTAAGTTATGGCGCGTGCAGGTTTTTTCTATCCAAAGTCGCGCGTGCAACACACCGGAATTGAAAATTCGTCGTAAAATCGCACGAACCTTAGAATGAGTTTAGGCAACTTTGACTTCTGGCGAGATTAAGAGGATGGTTCAAAGGACCCCTTGAGATTTTTTTCAGGACTATAACTGAGAATTGTTAATAACTATGATAATCGTCATCATTAGCGGACGGTGCTTTTTGCCCATTGTTGTCATCATTATCGTTATCACGCCGGAAGAAGTATAAAGCCGGCATGTCGCCTTACCTAGCTACACAGAAAATTGTTCTCTCTTTTGCTCCCCTTGGATCCTGGAAACTGTTACTATTAAGACGATCAACAAGAATGCCTTTATAATTATTGAAACTTTTGATTAACAGAATGTAGGAAAAATCGGTGGGGAGAGTTTTTCGCGTATCTTATAATCTAAACGATAGTTTTAAATAAAACAAATAACAATTCATTCAATTTACCATAGTTGTCTCGTGTTTAAAAGTGGCGTTTCTGGGGACCGTAGATTCTTCTCTAATTCTTCTTGTCTCAGCCAAGACTCACTATCATCAACTTTTTTCTTGTGCTTCTTACGGCATGGGACACAGTGAGCTGAGGTAAGCGATTGCAAATTTCTCAGTTAAAGTAAAGCCCAGTAGCATCCATCAGGAATTAAAAACCGACATGCACTGTTTACTTTTATTATTATTCTTAATCAAATAAGGGGTGTTTTAGTCTGCAAATTTAATCATATCGGTTAATGAGAATCATACAAACTGAGGAAAACTGACCGCAAATGATTGTGAACCGTACGCATGAGTAAGTAGATTGCGTTGTCAGGTGATTTGATCTTCTACAAAAACATTATTGATTATCAACCGAGCAACTTTGTACATATTTCCATCTGTGATGAAAAGCACTTACACATAGATCTATTTTTTTTTTTCAACGTGATGTGTACTTAAGTACCCTTCATCTAATAAAGAATTTCTTCTCTTTTCGAGCAGATATGTCACGTGACAAAAGTAGATAACAGAAAATGTGACTGAAGACCACCTGATTCAACTAGAATAATAACTCCAAACAGCTTTTGAACGTCCTGAGACATATGCAAGGTAATTACATCTCTGCCTTGGATACGCTTCCTGACACCATCATGATCAGGATACTGACGTGTTACCTTTGCACTTCTCCAAAACTTCCCCAGAGTGTAGCGATGCCTACAGCAAATCCACATTTTTTTGTTTATCCTCCCGAGCGAGGTGAAATAGGCCAATCCTTGCCAAGATTAGCTCATTTTCACTCAAAAACCTCTTTAGACAGGTGGCAGCTTATCAAATGATGTTTTACTTCGTCATTGTATTCAGACAGTCGTACCAAACCACTTAAGCCACACGATGAACCAAAGTTTTTTTCCTATCTTTGCTATTCAAAAAGCAGTCCTGACACATAATGAACGTCTCGCTTGTGAACGACTTCTTCTTGTACTTGTAATTGTTTCCAACGCGATACAAGTTCGGGAGATCTAAAGGAACTCATTATAACTTTGTATATTCGATACGATTTCAATTTCCGCGTCAAAGGAGAAGCCTATTGTAATTCGTGAGTGGTCAGTGGTTACGCTAGTGAGGTAAAGAATGGGTTTGTGACTTTCTCATTCAATTGAAAGACTCGCGTCACTCTTATAAAATGGTTGAACGGAATACAGACTTCGAGTAGTCTCTTATTTTTCTTAAAGATAGTGAGGTCACGCGTATCCTGTGAGCATGGTGAATCCGCGAGACGCGAGACTCGTATCTCGCGTCTTCGCCGCTCCACGCTCTCAGAGTTGGGCAAAGACAAGACAAGTTATTTCCGGTGCGATACAAGAGGTTCAGTGGTTATCTCGATTATCTAAACACATTTATTTACGTGGTAAAGATTTGTTTTTAAATCTATGAACTGATGCTAGTCCTATTTGGAACGAAGTGTATTTGAAATAAAAAGAATACTAAGTAAAACAAAAGTTGTCTGCAACACGAAGTATGCCTTCGCATTAAGACTGAGAATCCGAAAAGTAACTCACACTATACTTTATTTCATGCATATCATTTTGCCATCTCCACCCGCAAATTGCAAAAGCTAGACGAGGCAGGCGGAGAGGAAAGGTTACAGCAGTCATAACAGATAATATAATAATTGTAAAGTAACTAAATAAACTATCTGGATAAATAAGAACTACTGAGAAAAAAAAAAAAAAAAAAAAAAAAAAAAAAAAAACAAGCTAAAGTTACAAAATATATAGTCTTACAGAATGATATTACAATCAAATTTACTACTAACAGAACTATCAATTATATACATTGAGTCGAGGATGCAGAATTTGCCATTTTTTGTAGGAGAATGGGCACTTCAACATAATCGTCCTCTGCTTCCATTATCGAGAGCAAAAAGTCATGAAAATTTTTCTTAAAAGCTCCTTTGGAGAGTTGACGAAATTCGTTAGGAATTGCGTTCCAAAGTTTAGCTCCAAACCTGGAAAAAGAATCTTGATTTAAATTCAGTCTTGAAGTTTGAACATAATAATTTCCAGAAGAAGAAAACCTGGTCTCATGCCTGTGCTTTGAATTAGCTTTAGTGAAGAAATCACAGATGTTAGACGGAGCATTCATGCAGGAAACGTCAAACATTATAGAAGATACTTTTTCAGCATATAACATTTGTAGGGGTAGAATTTTTGAGGAAATAAATAAAGGCACAGCATGGGCTCTAGGTGCAGAAAAGTACATCAAACGAAGGGCTCGTTTTTGAAGCACGAGGATTTTTTTTAAATGGGTTTTGGCAGCTTGACCCCAAGCCGCCAAACCATATGTCAGATGAGGCAAGATCAATGATTGATAAATATTTAAAAGGGTTGTACGTGGGACGAAGTGCCTAAGACGGGCAACAACACCAACAGTTCTGCTTATTTTTAATGCAACATTATTTATTTGAAATTTCCAGCTTAAGTTGCTGTCCAATAGGACGCCAAGATATTTAACATGGTCTTCGCACTGAAGCGTGGTAGGAATTTGAGTACAGTTATCGATCATTTCAATGTTAATCGAGTCAGTTCAACTTACGTTGATATGGACGAAAGATAACATAGTTTGACTTTTTAGCATTGAGCGTTAACTTATTTGCATTAAGCCAGTCAGAGACTTTGAGCAGTTCGCTATTGACGGTTTTTTCAAGAGATTTCAAATTAGAGTCAGCATACAACAAGCTCGTGTCGTCAGCAAAGAGATAGAATGACAATTTCGCTGAAGAGTTGTGAATATCGTTAATATAGATTAAGAATAACAGAGGACCAAGCACAGACCCCTGTGGGACACCACATGAGATCATACATTCGGTAGATAAGTTAAAACCCACTTCAGTTACTTGTGAACGACCGAGAAGGTACGAGGCAAACCAAATATTGATAATTCCTCTGATGCCATAATGATTAAGTTTTTGAAGCAAGATTAAATGGTCGACGGTATCAAAGGCCTTTTTTAAGTCTAAAAAGATCCCGCAAGTGAAAAGTTTTTGGTCCATATTGTTTTGTATGACATTAACGATATCAATAATGGCATGTTGCGTGGAATGGTTTTCGCTGAAGCCATACTGTGACTTAAATAGAATATCGTTTTTACCAAGATAGGATTTGAGGCGGTGGTACATTAATTTTTCAAATATCCGATTGAAAATAGACAGTAATGATATCGGACGATAATTACCAGGCTCAGTCTCATCGTCATTTTTGTACACAGGAACAACTTTCGCTTTTTTCAGTTTGGATGGAAAGATGCCCTTTTGCACAGATATGTTTATGATGATGGAGAGAGGGCCCGAGATAACGCATCTTGCGTCAGTTAAAATACGAATCGGACAAGAGTAGAGACCGTAGGTTTTATTTTTAGGGATCAAAAGTATCTCACGCTCAATTTCCTCTGGCGTAACTGGATCAAAGAAGAAAGAGCTTGGATTATAATTGGGAGACAAGTATTCGGTAAAAAAGCGAGATGAACGAGGTACGCGTGAAGCTAGGTTTTTACCGACCGAAGAAAAGTAGTTATTGAAGATGTTAGAAATCTCAAGAGGATCATTAGTTAAGCTTTTATCATCAGGACGTTTAAGGGAAGAAATGACTTGTTTTCTATTCTTTTTGTCGTTAATTAGCCTATTTATTCCATTCCAGGTGTTTTTCATATTGTTTAAATTTTCGGCAAAGAACGCGTGATAATAATTCTTTTTACTCAGTCGAGTAAGACTAGAAATTTTATTGCTGTATATTTTATAATTTACAAGATCACCCGATTGGAGGAGATAATTTTTTATTTTGATGGATTTTCTAAGGCCACTAGTTATCCATGGTTTAGAGAACTGCTTAAGCTTGCGATTCGAAACAGTCTTTAAAGGAGCATGTTTGTCAACGAGTGCCAATAGTGTATTGTAAAAGTAAGAAAAAGCTGTATCGACATCAAACTGATCGCGAAAGTTAGTTTGGCTTACCAAAGCATCAGAGAGTTCAGAGTTGAACTTGCTCCTGGAATAACCAGAAAAGTCTCTGCGTTTTTGCTTTCCGCGTTTTGGCCGCTGAATAAAATTGTGAGAAATACAGAATTGTGAATAGTGATCGCTTATGTCAGAGATAATATTCCCACTGGTAATTTCAACATCAACTTTGTTTGTTAGAATATTATCAATTAGGGTGGCTGAGTTATTGTAAACACGTGTTGGTTTGTCAATAGTTGGGATAAATGAAAAGCTTTGAAGAAAGTAAGAAGTCCTGAGCATAACAGGAAGTTTCGGCATGAAGGAGGTTTATGTTGAAGTCGCCCATAATATATATTGATTTATTTGAGGTAATTAGTCTTTCAAGTTTATCATCAAAATATTCTTGGAAACGTTTGGGAGAGTTATGTTGTCTATATATGATACCACAAATGATGTTACTTTTCTGTGGAAGTTGAATTTCGATCCAAAGTGACTGGAAGGTTTCATCAGATACTTTTTCAATGACAGTATATTTCAGGGAATCATTAATATACAAGCCAACACCTCCAGAAGCTAGAGGTGTCGGCACATATTCGAAAACGTATCCAGGTATGCATGGATTAAAACCATTTCTTTACGACTGATTATTTTAGTTTCTGAGACTCCTATAATGCTAAATTCGAAATTTAACTCGTCCAATAGATGAACTTGAAAGTTTTCAAGATTTCGCTTAAGACTCCTGATATTATTATGTAAAAGAGAGAAGCTCGAATCACTGACACGACTGGGAAGTTCACTTTTAAATTTGTAGAAACTATATGGGGAGTAGTATCGACTATGGATACGATGATTATAGATACTATCACTCGGATTGGTGTCTTCAAGTGCGTTTAGCTTGAAAAGATTAAGGTCATAAATGCTAGAGAGTTTTTCTAGGTATTTTTTGGCCGGTAAATGAGAAGGTAAACAATTATTAAATTGACCATGAGCTAAGTTTACATTTAATCCAAAATATGGGAGCTCACGGAATAAAGATAGAGTATCGCGAGAGTTTAGATCGTTAGCACTCATGAATAAAACTAACCATTAAAAGTAGATGATAGTAAATACTTATCGAACTGATAATGTCAGGTGTCCGAGACAAGTCGCTGTAGACTACCAAAGTCCGTTATCTTTATCGGTCGGGAACCCTCACTCTTGCGTAAATAAATCGTGGAATTCTTGGCCCAGCAGAAGCGGTATTGGTTCTGTTCTTTAAATCTCTTCGCTTCAAACAACAGGTGTTGTTTTTTGGGGGTGAGGTGATCGAAGATTCTGACTCTGTCAAGAACACTATCAGCAGACAGACCAATATTTGATGGGTTGACTTGAGAGGCACTTTGTCGAGTTTCCATAACAATTGCTTTTGCAAGGCGTCTTACAAATTTACAGATGACCGGTTTCGGAGCGCCATTTTGCTGTCTCGAGGGGACGCGATGAGCAATGTCAATGTCCGACAGAAACACTTCTGCCCCCATCTCCTGGAATAATTTTACACACAGGGCGCTTGTTTCAGCTGCGGTTTCACTGCTTTTCTCTGGCAGGCCAATTATTTTTACATTAAATTGGTAGCTATATTCCTCAACCTCGTCAATGGCGTTGCCAACACGTGTGACTTCAGCGCTAAGCTTATTAAGACGACGGCTTAATGCCTTGAGTTGATCAACGACACCAGAATTAGACGCTGAGAGGTCGTCGTATTCGTCGCTCAGATATTGTAGACTACGAGACACGGTTTCATCATTCGAAGCATTATTAATGCTATTACCAGACGTAGCAGCTGCTTCAGCACCAAAGGTAATCGCCGAGTCGACCCGAACCTTCTCTTTCAGCTGCGTTATTTCCTTCGAAAGGGCGTCGACCTTATCCTTTAAATCTTGATTTTGTTGCTTTAGTGAAGTAACTGACTCTTTTGGCATTATTTCAGTTAAAATTAGTAACAAAAAGACAGATAGAAGCGGGAGCTCAAAATGAAACGTCCATCTTGGCTCCTGACCGCTGACCGCTTCCGAATCCTAATGTTTATCGAATGTTCCCAAAAACCTTCTGATAATCTGCCCGCATCCACCCCTCACCCCGCCCCTCGCCACTGAACCGAACTGTTTTCACTCAGCAGCAGGTCAGCGGTCACGTTTACGAGGTAAACAAACCGATCGATTCTTGATCACCGTTCTTGTCGATTGGAAAATCAAAATACCAGCGTCATATTGCCGCGAAGATGAAGCAGTTATGTTATTTGATTCGTACTTCACATTCGAGTCAAAGCTTGGGTGGCACAGGTTATTTCTTGCGGTGGAATCGACGAGGGGAATTCAGAAAGTTGTAGTGTTTGTATTGTTGGAATAAATGGTCGCATGGGGATGGTAAGTTTAACGAACAATTTCAAATTTTGCCGCTTGAATTGAAAGTAAAGTTCATTTGCATTGCTTTCTTATATATTTCTGACGGTTTTAGATTAACCTGCTTGATTTATATCGGTTACGCTTCATGTTGACAAGTCCCTCACAATGGCGGCCAAACTTGGAGATTGCCGAAAATTAGGTAAGTTCACTGAGTTATAAAGTTCTCGTAAAGGTCGGGCCGCAAAGTTTTTTTCTGTAGTTATCTTTTCTATGGCACCTACTTCCTAGCTATGTTAGTTGGATCAGTTAAGAACGCCTCACTTTTTCAAAAATTTACCTTGAATTTGATCGGTTTTGGCGTGTTTGATTTAGGCGAACCGATAAGGTGTCATTCAAGTCTTCCTGTTTCCTTGATTGACACGTGATGTTTACGAAAGTCGCCTCGATAGATAAGATAGAGTTAATATACATGGCTGTGGTATTTGTTTTTTGCTGAGTTCCGTAGTTTTTTGTAAATTTTCCTCTAAAGTTGTATGAAATTAAAGTCTTGAAAAGTGTCACAACAAGCCTTCGCTCGAGTGAAATTTAATTTCCATAAAACTCTGAAAAATAAAGAGATCCGATCAAACTGATTGTGGTTTTAGTATAGGTACATGAATGTCTTACAACACACGAGAAACGAGCGAAATCCGTGTCTCAAGCAAAATCGACCGGACCGCTCTTACAGAGACACTCTCTTAATGGTTTAAAATTTTTGCAGCCAGCATGACAAATATGTAAATTTACGAGAGGAAAGATCGACCAGCCACTATAGGGCTTAAATTGATTGTGGTCATCAAATTACCGCAGGTCTCCGTTTCCTTAATATTTGCACATTTTTGCTCCAACAGAGCAATCTCCAATTCAAGTTTCTTCTTATTAAGCTTCAAATTACTCTGCTTTAATAGTAAAGCCTTGTACTGCTCTTCCAGCACCATGTCGTGGGTTATTTTCCTCTTTGGGGGCTTTTCGCTTACCTCCTTGATAGTTTTTTTACAGGAAGCGGTGTCTTCGACAACTTTGGTCACGGCTTCGTGTTTGCTTATTAACTCGTCGGGCTTCTCAGCAACAGAATTAGGGGTCTCATCGGCAGAGGCATCGCTCGACACCACCTCGAGGACAAGAGTTTCTGGACCTACGGACCAGCCAGTCTTATTAGATAACGAAGCACCACAATCTGTTGAAATGCAGTGTTTTGAACTGCACTTGACTGCCTTTCTAAAAGGCAGCCATATTTAATTGATTAGAGTTGGCCGCTGGCCGAAGATTGTATTTGAAGCCGAGAAGAGGAGAGTGGGCCGAGGCAGACTTTTCGGCGCCATTTGTTTTTTTGTTTACATGGGAGTACATGTAAAAGAAAATAAGAAAGAAACAAAAGTCTAAAGTCCGTTAATTTTCACTTTGCTTTGTGTTTGTTAGCGAAGTATACATTTTATGCAAGGTATGGACATTGAGAGGTATTACAATAATGTTTCCATTTATAAACTTACCTGTTTCAAACCCCTGTAACCCAGTAAATGACGGTGTGTCACTGAACATCTTTATTATTTTTAAACTGGCTTCTGATGGGTTCGGGGGAGCAGGGCCACCACCTGTCTTCTTCTGTTCTCTTTTAAAGGAACTGAATTCTCTTTTTGCGTGACTCTGGAGGTTTTTCCACTTGTCTTGTACTTCCTGCGTTGATCTTGCTGTCACACCGACGGCGTTTACCGCCTCCGAGATTTCTTCCCAAATCTTGTTTTTTTTTTGCATTTTTATACTGTTGGTAAATTTACTTTGAAGAATGTCCATATTTTCTTCAAATTTTTCCGTTAAAACGGAAATTTCAGCGGGTGAAAAGTTTGCTTTCCGCACTTTCTTCGCTGGAGAAGCCATATTGACAAAAATAAATTTCCGGCAATTTTATGACGTAAACTGGCACAAAATAAATTATAATAAATGAATATAATTCATTTTATGCTTAATCGCGGATTAGTAAATTGACCGAGTAATCTCCCTTTGAACAACCGTTTTTTAACCAACGATTAACTAACCCACGATTAAGAAATTTAATCGCCGATTAGGCCTAATCGGTGATTAGTTTAATCGCGGTTTTGAACAAACGGGGCCTGAAGGTTTAGTTTAATCACAAACGGTTTTTAGGCTGTGCGTCAACCCATTTTATGACATACTTGCTGCCAAAATTCATTTCAAAACCAATTTTTTGGCTAGCAACCGAAGTAATTTCAGAGAGAGAAATTGAGGATCAACAAGTTATTAATCGGCTTTATTTTCTTTCGAGTGATTTGCTTAAAAATACTGCTTAGCCGGGGGAGGGGGAGGGAGGGGAGGGGGAGGGGGAGGGGGCGGGGGAGGGGGAGGGGGAGGGGGAGGTGTCAACTCAACGAGGAACTCATTGATATTCAAAAACTCAGCTACCAAAATTACATGAACTCACAGATAATCTTAGCTGCTGTGAAATGAACTAATTCAGAAAAGCAGGTCAGAGATGGCGGACGCCGTAGTGAAGAAAGACGCATTGTATTAATTGACACCGATCAAACATAAACTGCAGATGTTATACAAATGGGAATCAAATAGAGAATAAATCACGTTTTCAGTCTCATTTATTTTCCTCCTTTGTTATGATTGTGATTATATAATATTTATAAGTTACAACATTATTACAGGTATCACTTTTTGGATCAATATTTGTTTCTGGGCAACCGAGCTCGATATCGATTTGTCGTACTCGATTACCATTCCTGCTCGATAAGCAAACGGGACCACATTTAGTATCTGGGCAACCGAGCTCGATTCATGTTCACCGTACTCGAATAGCAATTCGAGTACCATTTCAAACCAACCTCGGTTCAACGAGCTCGAAATGCAGTCAATTCGATTCGAGCTCGATTCAACTATATCGTGCTCGATTAAAAAGACGAGCTCGACGAACTCAATCTGCTCTTATCGACCTCAGTTATTTTTATCGAGCTCGGTTTGCCACGTATTCTATCGAGCACGGTTTGCCTCGCATTCTATAGGTTTCATATTGAGCTCGATTTGATATCGAACTCGGTTTAATCTTCATTCAGCAAATGAGAGGTAATCTGGTACCAAGACTTGGGAGGGAGCATGGGACGAGCGAGAGTGGCCATGTTTCTGGCAACTTTGTCGAGTTTAGTTCGTGAATTCGGGACTTTTTAGGAGTATGTTTTCGGTCGAATTCGAAAAAAAAGAAGAAGAGTGACAGAAGAAGAGCAAAGAATGATTTATACTGCTAAGGAGATGAAGGAAATGACACTAAGGTGAGCATTGGCTCTTTACGGGAGGGTGTTCCGAGTTGCTGGTTCATAGTTTGTAGTAACGTTTTGTTCAGTTTCAAACTTAAGCTCAATCCTGGAGTGTACGTTTCTCGGTTATTTTAAATCTCAGTTGTGTAATAAGAAAGTGTCTCCCTCCATTTTACCAGCCCCAAAAACCCCACAAAAAAGTATATATAACAACATGCAACAATACACACATTCTATTTTTATTTTATGAGCTCAATACACTTTCGTGTTTCTATTTTAATTCGTCTTTTGTAACAAGGAAAAGGAACAGAACTCTAATGAAATATGAAAATCTTTTGGAGAATATGACAAAAAAAAAGTCTGAAAAGTAATGTATGTTCATCCCTTGCAATCAAATATCAAGAAGAATATTATTAACTATACTGAACATATGCATTATCAGAGACCATGGTTGATTGACGACATTTCACGAAATTAAGAAAGTGTGGCGGGCTACTGTAATTGTTTTTAAACGGCCTGACCTAGCCCTCTTTATAGACTGCAAAAACCATATTCTTAATTTGCAGTCATGACAAAAAAAATAAGCCAGAAATTTATGACTGTTAAGTAAGAGGTTAATACAAATGCCAGTTGACTTTTTTTAATAACTGAATTGAACATTTTATGACCTGTTCATGAAATTAGTACAAGTTGAAGTAGTAAATAATAAATTTAACATCAAGGCTGCCATTTCCGTCCAGTAGACTGTCCACATTTGGTATCCTCCTACCCCACATTTCTCCTTCCTTCAGGGACACTATGTCCGAGTCTAGGACTTGCTCATTGTCACTTCCAGGGGCCATTACAATTCTTCAAAAAGAAAATAGAATATATATTTACATATCATAACATTGTTCCACTCAACAATCATTGTGTATTTTTATGCCAGATATCCGTATTGTCTCTCAGCTTAAACAGGAGTAGTACATGGGTGGGTTCGGCTTTGAACACAGCCGTTAGCAAGTTCTGGCACAGTCATACACAAAGAGGTACAATGAAATGTTTTTTTCATGCAACACACAGACAGCAAATTTAGTGTTATTCATCATTTCTTCTAAAGCCCCCTTAGTTATAAAGGTGGTTTTTTTCCAAACATAATATCAATTTCCCTTTGACAATCTATGAACAAATTCTCATAACCTTTTCTCCTGGTTTAGTATAATTCGATTTGTGATGAAAATAGTGTTGGTCACTCTTGGGACATGAAAGAAGGCAAAGGTAGCATTTTCCTTTAAGTGCACTCACAAACACTCTGCATGAAATAATTAAAGTTCTTACTGAATTTCCCCAGTAACTGGATGGGATGCTGAGAGCAGCTGCAGGAACAATTTTTGTTGTCCGGAGTACAGTCCTCTCCATCTGCAGTTGTCATCTATAAATGGCCCACTTGTAAGGGGCTTGTCTCCAATGGCATCTGAAGCTTGTTGTCTCCTGCTCTCCACAAAATTTGGAATTCTCCAGCAAAAGGAGACAACCCTTTCCACTTTGGGCTCTATGGGTTCTATGTTGCATTTCTAAAACAGAAATGGATTTTATGGATATTATGAAATGCACCAGAAAAAGATTTTCAATGTAAGATTTTGAAGGTAAATGCAACAGTTGCCATCCTTTTTTCCACTTACTTCGCTGGTTTTGGCATTTAAAAGAGTGCATGTTTTATTGATTTTTAGGTTGGTGAAAAGGCAGCTTACCTTGTAGTATATTATTCCTCGCAGTCGTTTGATTTCTCCTGATTGGAGCGCAAAATGCGAGGTACTTGCTTCCTTCAAATGGACATTCATGTCCTTCTTTTTTACAATTTTTTTGCAGCCAGGTACTTGGCACATTGAAGCCTTCTCTGGGCATTTGTGTAGATGTAGGTTGATGTTCATTCTACAATTCAAAAAGAGGTATGTGTTAGTTCTAGATCTTCCATTTTGGCTGGTATCATATATTCCAACAGTGGTTTGATAAAAAAAAAAGTGGGAAAAACATGACACCTCAAGGGTCACGCCAATTGACTCTGTAGATTAATTGACCTTGATATAAACTTTGGGGCTTTGGGGAGAGCGGTGGTCAGGGGGACTTAAAGTAATTGGAAGTATCACTAGGCCCCTCTCTTAGATCCCCACTGAAAAATAGGCATTATTTCTGTTTCTCAAATCGTTTCTTGCTTATGAAATTTAATTCCTCTCTGTCAGTTATTTTTAAGGAATGCAGCTGATCGCGTGGCACCAGACACAAGTTAGGACTGCTCGTAGTCCTCGATTTGGATAACAGAAGGATAAGTTTGTCACCTGTTATTGACGATTGAAATGATAAGAGAATACAGCAATACTGCAATTCATGCTAAAAATTACCGAAAAATACTTCACTTATGACAATCGCCTAACACCAAAATATCGCAATGCTGAATTATCCTAATTAATACAACATACCGTGGTAATGATGCTCCACATCTCAAGGGGCATAGAACTGCAGAGTTTCTGCATAAAGATGTACGGTGGAATTGGAGTCTTTCCCTGGTTACGCTCAGTTGGCATCCTGAACATGCGATCCTTTCTTTTGGGCAAGCGTGTGCTGTCATTTCTTCCCGTGCCGCCACGTGCTGGCATCCTTCGTTGGGGCACCTCTCTCGTACTTTTGGGCAATGTCTGAGGTGATCGTTGGCATTGCTATAGTTGCCCTTCCACTGGCAGCCTTGGCTGTTACATTTAACAGGCAAATCTCGGGTCGCCTTATCCATTGCCACATTTAACCTCAGCTCTTCTTTTCGGAACGTTGCCCGACACTGGGGACACAACGGTGTGGCTGTCGATTCTGCCCAAGTTTCCATGCAATTTTTGCAGCCAGAGTGCCCACAGGCAAGGGTAACGGGCCTTGACACGATGCTGTAACTGAAAAGGAATGTGGCAGTATAATAGCACTGGAAATGAGCGGTAACAAAAACGATGGCAAAATATGACAGCCAGCAATGATATTCAACTCACCAAATACAGCATTCCAAATCCACTGTCCTCAGAAAAGTTAATTCGTTGGACTTGGAAACCACTTCGGTCTTTTGATGAGACATTGTTACGGACTAAAGGATTTTCGATCACGGTCTGTCGTAATAAAGTTTCCTTGTCAGTGTAAGCTGCTCAAATAACCTCTGATGACAACGGTGTGATTTTTAAAGGTCAATATTTCCGTTGTGCGGTTAATAAATTAATTTCCTTTGTTTAGGTTCTGGTATTGGCGGTAATTGGTACCCTTATTATTGAAATTTTCATTAAGGTCGTGAATTTAATGGGATGCTTTGTCTAGTCGGCTTAGTCCTTCATATTTAGGTCGTCACGTTAAGAGGTTCCTTAGTCTCTTACCTAAACCTGCTCCATTATTGATGTCTGTCCTTTGTAATAATAACATTTTCACGGAGGGGACACCACGCTAAAGGCTCGAAAGAGTTTCAGTCACGTGACGTCATCAAAATTAGAAAATAAGAAATTATCAATCCCTTTTGATGGGGCATTTTACGGAATATGAGATCTTCGATGACGGCCTGTCCCAGTAAAATTTTCCTTCTTTATAGTATAAGCTGCTCAATTAACCTCAGATTACAACGAGAGTATGATTAGCTTTTAAAGGTCAACATTTCCGTTGTGCGGTTAATTAATTAATTTCCTTTGTTTAGGTTCTGGTATCGGCGGTAATTGGTACGCTTATCACTGAATTGTTCAGTAAGGTCGTGAAGTAAATGGGATGCTTTGTCTAGTCGGCTTAGTCCTTCATATTTAGGTCGTCTTCTAAAGGGGTTCCCAAGTCTCTTGCCAAGTCTCCTAGGACCTTTCTGAAAACCACAGTGATGTAATGAAATTTTCCTGATGAAAGATTGCTATTGTTATTATTAACCCACTCCATTATCGATGGCTGTCCTGAGGGGATGCCACGCTGAAGGCCAGGAATAGTTTCAGTCGCGAGCGCGCTTTATCTGGTTTTCACGTCACGTCTTCAAAATTAGAAAATAAGGAATTATCAATCCCTTTGAGATTTTAGTTCGGTTAGTTATAAGAACTGTTGAAGACTTACTTTTTACAAATTTCCAGCTTGTTAGGGTTTTTCGTCTTGTGAGAAAGCAAGATTGAATTTCTAAGCTTTGGCGCGAAGCGACATTAAAATGGCGGCCAAGAATGCTGTCACGTAGGTTTAAAAAAAAGTGACATCCGCTTAGATTTCGCGATCTGAACAGTCCTAGTATGAGAATAAGTACTCATATAGATGATTATAAGTCCGCTGAAGACGGCTACAGGATTTTATGTCTTTTTGATTCTTGACTTTATTTGTTGTACGTTTTGATGATGGCGTGACAATGAAAACCGGCAACTTGTGATACAAATCTCGCGCGTGCAGTTGAGGCATATTCGTAATTATCGTATGACCCGTCTGGCCCCGCTCGCCTAATCCCCTAGAAAACCACAGTTAAAGCTGACGTGTACAGGGCCGGACGGGTTGACTTAAGCCGGTCAGGAAAAAGCCGTTTTTCAAGAAATTGGGAGTTTCTTGTTATGACTTGAAAAAATAAATAAATGTCAGTTTGCCGGCCGGAAGGTTCGTACGGTGAAAAACTATGATCGAGGTCTTGATGTACATGCAGCATTTTCAAGACCGAGGTCACAGTTTTTCACCATACGGATCAACCCTTAGCCGGTAAATAACATATTTTTTTTTTAACTTGACGAAATTCTTTCCGAAAGAACCCGAATGATTTAGGGCTGTAAATACGGCAAGATCTTCCATAAACTGAACAATTTTTTAACGAGTAAATGGTAGTTAAAAAAGAGGTGATGCAAATTAAAGAGAGATGCCTTACCGAAACATTTTCATTTGCGTAATGATAAAGGTGATTTAAAAGGCTTCCAAACAAACTTTGAAACATTATTTTTACCAGTATCTGTCACTGTCTGACACCTGTCAATAAGAGAGCGCGTAAGAAAAGAAACAAAAAAAAAAAGTAAGAACATTTGAAAAACAACGGAACTAGTTTGGCAAGGACTGTCACGACAATGTTTCCTTCAAAAACATTCAATGACCTAAGGGAAAGTATTATTCACTGTCATCGACGATTCATTCATGTACGAAGATTTACCTCTGTTCATTAAGTAAACGGCGAGGAAGGTAATTGTGAGTAAATTCAAATTTTTTCTATAACAGCGCCGGTGCTTGCCCTATTTTAGTCCTATTGAGCCGCTATGAACAAAATCCTTATTTACGCACGCCCGTGCGTAAATAAGATGACGTGAGCATTTTTTTTAACCTGGCTTCAGAGTTTCCATCCTGTTAAGCTGCGGTGCAGTTTTCCTTCTGTTTGAAATATGGAAGAAACCAGAGAAGAACTGGCCAATTTTTCTATCGGCATTGACCGTTTGGGTCTTGATCCAACAAGCAACAGAAATAAAGCCGAAAAAAACTCCCAAGTTGCACGTTTCGCAAATTTGTCGTAAGACCAGCTGGAGCAAATTTTGGCCGAAAGACAGACATTCACTGGGAATAAAAAATAGTCACCAATTGGTCATAAACGACATTCAAAGGTAAAATTTCCGTTTTTTACCGGCGTCGTTTTTAAATTTGTTCAACCTGGGGAATAAAATACACAGTTCATTGGAAATTTACCAAAACCAGAACAATCACAATTGCACTCTATCACAATAAAAGGTTTCTTCGCGCAGATTCTTGTTGTTGCTCAGTTATAAAAGAATTTGCTCATGCTTTTAGCTGTGCGTATATCAGTTGAGTTATGGATGCACTTGGGAAGTTTGGAGAGCACTCAAAAAGCTAGAGTTGCTCTTGGCTGCGCCTCGAGCTACTCTTACGCATTTTTCGTGCTCTCCAAACTTTCCGCGTGTATCCATTACTCGATATACGCACGCTCAGCATGAACAAATTCTTAAATTTTGAAGTTGTGCGAGGTTGCTCATTTGTTTGCTGCAATGTCGTGTGTAAATCTGGTCTTTCCTCCACAAAAACTAAATTCGAATGGCACACTCCAAGGGGATTTAATGCGCCATTCTCTCAATAAATTCCTTCAGTTTCTGTTGTGCAATTTACGGTACAAATGTCCAAATTGAACGGACCCGGAAAGACTCACAGAGAGCGTATATTTGTTGCAGAACTGAATGTAAAACTTCGCTCGCTCTTTCGCTACGAACAAATTGTTTGAGAAAATTCAGATATTAAATGAATGAAAATTCCACCGTTCAGTTTAACTGTAATCAAATACCTCACGTTTTCACTTTTTAGGTACTTTTTGTGAACGATTTAAATTAACTGCTGAAGGTTTTTATGCCGCTTGTCAACCAACGTAATGACACTATTGCTTATACAAATTCATTCTGAAACCAATATTTTTCTGTCAACCAAAGTGATTTGAGAGAGAGAAAAGAGAGGATTCATAAGTTATTTATCGGCTTGAGGTAGTGACCGACGTGTCTGCCTAAAAATACTACCCAGACGGAAAAGCAAGATATATTTATAAAAATGGCAACGAAATTTGGGATGTACTCAGCGATTCACGAAGGCGTCACCGTGGCCCGTGGGCAGAGATAAGAAAATACTGACCGGGTAAAGAACCAATCAGACTGCAGGATTCGTTACCGTGCCCTCTGAAAAAAAAGTAAAGGAAAAGTTTAAATTTCAGAATTTCTTTTTTGTGCTCGTGTAGCTGAGTGTGCCCGGGCCGGACGGGAAAATATTTGGCTCTCGATCATGAGACACGGACCTCGTTGCGTCCGGTCCGTACGTCATGACTTCGAGCTAAATATTTTCCCGTCCCACCATAATACTGATTTAGTTTTCGATTTTGGAGGCACGACTGGATGTGTCCTATGGTTTCCATGGTGACAATTTTTTTCTTTTTTTTGTTTACTTTATTTTCTACACGTTCCCACAAGCTTGCAGCTTTAAACCTCACCATGTTTGAATAAGGTTTATTGTAGTGCACATGCATTGTATTGTAAATTATCTGGGGAAAAATGATGTTATGGTGTTTCTTTTATTTCTGTGCCGAATTTTATACTAGTAGTATAGTTTACTACTATACTTATTACGAAGAGCCAAACTGTTTTGAGAAATAATTTGAAGAACTTTTCTCGAAAAAGGGCAATCTGTTTTGAGCTATCTTAAAATGAAACGCTGTAAACTCCGTTAAGAGAAAAATTTTCTTAAAAAAAACCTTTTAAAATACCTTAACCTTTTTCAGGGAGTTTGACATACGAATCGGTCCCTGAAGGTTAATATTGTTCACACTTTAACACTGACAAGAGCTAACCCTCTTTTTTTTTTTACTGAACAGTGTTTTCAGTAAATCAGGCACCTGATACCCGGAGCTATCGCAGGTGTTCTGTCCTGAATCACCGAGCTAAATTTATTCTGGTAATTTTGCGTTAACAACTGAGTTGAAAACGTAAATTGGTCACCGTAAAGGGTAAAAAAGATAACATTTCGAGCGTTAGCCCCTCGTCAGGGCGAAGGGCGAAGGGCGAAGGGCTCACATTCGAAACGTCAGCTTTTTTACCCTTTACGGTGGCTAATTTACGTTTTCAACTCAGTTGTTAACACTTAAGTACCTGCTATACTCTCCCACCGACGCAACACCACAGTTTCTCTAAAAACTTTCTCCCTGCATAACTTTATTCTGGTTTCTGTAAGAGATGTCTGAGCTCGCAAGGAAAGCCTCCTACTTGAAATCTTATAGAGCGTTACCACTCACGTCGCATACAAATTTATTGGAACTAAAGAAAGTGTTCACTGAAGAAAAAAGTTCAACTCCCACGGGATTGGTTTGGTACACCAACATGGCCGCCGTTGGATTGTTTTGGAACACCGATATATGATAGGGTTGGGGGAGGGTTAGTCATACTTAATACTTACTACTGTATTTAAATATCAATACTAAAAGGCTTGTTCTTGTTGTGTTTATAGCACCTCGAGCATGGGAGGTAGCAGATAAGACGCCCGCGGCAGACAAAAAAGAGACGTCATGTTATCATCAACGGGTTTTTGGACTGGAAAAGCACTTCTACAAACTCAGCGGAACCTGTAGCAAACTAAACTGTAGAGACGTTTAGCCACCTAGGGTTTCAGGAAATGACAAACAAGTTCAGAAACTTTGATCTTAAAGCGTTTTCTTGTAAAATAATCCTTTCTTCAAATAGATCTGTGCAAATTTTCTCATATTTGTTATCTTGGC